GTAGTGGTGGTGTTAAGAAGCAGCTCTTTAAAACTTCGTTATATTTTGCAAGCTATGTAAATACCGTATTTCCTCGAATAAGCGCCCCAGCTCGGCTAAAAGGAGAGGTGCTTATAGGGAGGAGGGCGCTTAATAATGGAGGCGCTTATTAACTTTTTTTTTTTTTCAACCAACGGTATTTCTATTTTGGCTAAATGCATCTTAACGCGTTTGCTGGTCTGTCCGGTGCGTTCATTTTAAGTTTTTTTGATTTAACGTGTTACATATCTGTGTACCGTATTTCCTCGGTAAGGTCCCACGCTCTAATAAGCGCCCGTCCCCGAATAAGCGCTCACCCCGTTGGCCATAATATCAAAAAAACGCCCCTATCGAAAAAGTCCCCTCTCTCCTCCTCATAACTTTCTTAAATAGTAGGAACACAGGTGGCCCAAACGTAATATGAGTGTTTGTATGAGAAAAAAAGAGTTTGAAACTTAGATGAAATGAATAAAGTAAAAGCGAGAAAATTTGTCAATAAAGTGTAAATATTGTTACCTGGAGTCGTTGTCTTTGTTTTTATGAAGTTTCAGCGCGATTTGAGCACTTTTAGATCATTATTACACTGCCTGTTCATTTATTTCATCTAAGTTTCAAACTCTTTTTTTCCCATACAAACTCTCATATTACGTTTGGGAGACCTGTGGTACGAATACATGAGGAATGGGATGATCTGCTTATTGTTGATATTGCGCGTATTGAATAGCGAGCGCACCGCGAAAGATCGTGACGTCGTTACTACAAACCCTCTTGCAAACACAACTTTTGGTCAATCAGAGCGCGCGTATTATCTGAGAAAATTAGGCTGATTTAGCAACGGAACGGGAACGTCAGTTGACGACGTCGCGCTCAAATCTAACAACTAGCTTGACCAATGGCAGAGCGGCAAATTTGGAACGAAAGTCGCGTTTAGTCCTTTCCACGCGCTTTCCCGTCAACTGACGTTCCTATTCTGTTGCTAAATTAGCCCATGCAAAAGTCGGGTTTGCATGAGCTGTGACCTCACGATCTTTTGCAGTGCGCGCTATTCACGCAATCACTATTCATTTGTGTAAAGTGTATAATGGGACTACGGTACTCTTGGCTATAACAACCAAGGTTTTAACGAATAAAAGGCACATGTCCCAAAGCATCTGTACAGAAAACCTTGATAACCTTTTTATTCAAAACAAGAACTGATTACGCTAGCCAAAATTCGTGTACAACAGTTCGTAACTATATAGTAGCATATCCCTTTTGATTAGCGCCTGCAACAATAATTCTTGCTTCTTTCTTATTTTTGAAACCCTTTTCGCAAATGAGACACACGAAATTATTCTTGTAACCAGTAACGTTAATTGTTAACGTTCGCAAAATAAAATGACCCAACGAAGGATAGCTGTCAAAATAAAGGGAACAGAGGATTTTGTCGCCTAGGAGAAAGTTGTAGGCATCTTTAAAGTTTTGGTAATTACAAAATTTTCCAATTATCAGTTTGCAAAGGCCAAACTCTATTTTTTGTCGCAGTGAGAACAGGTTCAGTTTTTGGTCGATGTTTATTATGTCGCAACTAACAGCGCTAGATTGTAGAGCGCATGAGTGGTTGGCCTGTTCCAGGCTCCGAGAAAAACGCCAGGGGGCTGGGGTTTTCGCTTTGCTCGTTTTAATACGTCCGCACTATACTATCTGAGAGCCTGGCACAGGCTACTGAGTGGTTCAAGTAGAAACTAGAGTTTAACAAAGATGAAGCAAGCAAGCCATCTTGCAATTGCGTAGTATAAGTTGATAAATCGGCTTTTAAACTCTTTAGTCGTTTATAAAGGGATTCTAGGCGTATTTATGTACTTTCAAGCACCGCCACTCCTCCCCCGTTAAAATGCACGTGACAGTATTGAGTGACGAACAGCGTCGCGGACATTATTGTGCCATTGTAGCACCGGTCAGATATATATTTTCGTGCAGTGTAAAGCAGTGTTAAACAAATGGCTATAAACCGTCGAAGAAGATGCAATCGTAATAAAATTCGCCTAAACTGATCAAAGATTAGTATTCGACCTTTGAAGACGTCGAAAGTTCACTCGGTCTGTCGGGTGTGAGGTGCATACAAAAGTGCAGAGGTTGCAAACCAGAGGTCAAGCGACGAACAACCGAAAGTCGTGCTAAAATGATCTTTGGACCGGTCGTTTACTGCTCATAATAAGGTAAAAACATTTCGAAACGGTTTTCTATCTGCTTATTTTAACTTAATGTGGGTTTAGACAAGTGAAGGAACAAAATTTTATGTCCGACTCGCAACTTCAAAGTTGACCGCGGAAGGTCAAACATCTGCATTTTTAACAGATTTTGTAAAGCTCTCTCGTCGCTAGTAATCCTTTTCCCAAAGAAATTTTTACAGGAATCTGTAGACCATCCTTCTGACATTCAACCACCAGCAGCTTAATCGATTTGAAGGTTTCGCACATGGTAAAAATTATGTTTTTTCACTCATTACTTTTACTGAAGGAAATTGTATGCCTTCGAAATTAAATTATTTTGTATACAAAGAAGAGAGCACTATTCCCCCAAATCATTTTAACAGATATTTAGAAGTTGTAAAAGAAGGCTGTGATGTTTAAAAGGCGGTAGTGAAATCGGTTTTTGCATTCTAGGCTTTCCAACCCATGTAATAATTGAGCGCCTCAAATGGCGATTTTAACGGATTTTGGATATTTGGAATTATCTCTGAAATAAAAGGATATTTCACCGAAAAATCAATACAGTGATTTTAGTTATACCCTAGCCTATCTAACATTAAAATATGAAAGAAATCGAATTTTCCACCTTTGCCGCGATATGTTTGATTTTTACGGACAGGCGCTCTTAAGCACAACAAAATTATCAATTCTAGCGGGTTTTACTTGATTTCTAATTCTTGATAAAATCCAAGATGGTGGCCGAGATGGCAGCCATGTTTGGTGACGCCACAGGCCTCATAAAATATACCTCACCTTCAAAGGCTTTTCATTGAAGGCTTCGTTTCGAAATACTGCGACATATCAAAAACTCAGAAGATGGGTTCCATCAAGGCACCCCCCTCCCCCTTTTAACACAGTGGGGGTACGTGTGCGTGTACGTCCGAGGGTTAAGCTTTGGCTATCGTGAAAACCTATTCTTCTTTTTTGAATTATTTTAGTTCGATAAATCTCGCTATTTCCCTGAAAGTTACTCTAACAGTGAAAAAAAAATTGTTCTGTTATGGGAAGTGTCCAAATTTGTTCATGCGGCTTTGGTTGCGAACGCGAGTAAAGTTGATGTTAGCGAATTTTAGTTAAAAAAAAAATGGACCATTTTGAGACTTGAAAACCGATATTTTAATTTTTGTGGCAAATAAAAGGCTTATTGGTGAAAACAATTTACAGCACGTTTCTTATCTACCTAAAAGCTGTATATGGAAAAAAGAATAAAGGAATCGATTTTTCAACTCTTGCCACTCAATGCTAGATATTTCCTGACCGTGCTCTTAAGCTTTTTTCTTGTTCAGGTCAAGCGTAATAATACATTGTTTTTTTTTTCAAAAACCATAGAGATTCATTATGTAATTAATGATTTACTCTAAACAAAGCTGGTTCGTCAGAAACAAAAAACAATCTGATTGGTCATGCAATTTGCTCACTGGTAAAAAAAAATTATATAACAATTATTCACCTCAGTGTCGGTAGCAAGTGGTGACTATTTACCGAGACACGGTTTACTAGCCACCGACACTGAGGTGAATAATTGTTTTAGCATATACTAAAACAGTGACATAATTGAGCACAAAAATGATGATTTTTAACTCATTTACTGTTGCGAACGATTACAAATTTGGCGCGCAATGACAGAACGGCCGCGGCCGTCGCTTTATCTTGCCGACAAATAAAACTTTTAAGGGCATTTGTTTAGATCTTGCGGGGAAATTTCTTCAAAAGGAGTCGTGTATTCGTTTGGTATTTAAAATCATTCTGTAAAAAAAGATTATTAAATTTAGTTTTGAGCTTATTTATTAACAAGTCAACTAAATGAAGTAATCAGGCAAGTCTTCGCATTTGTAAACAAAAAACTTTTCCACCGGTTTCATCGATAAATTCAAGTCGAACTAAGACAAAGCATGACCTGTTAAAACGCCCAAACCAAACTTCGTCTCCTTCTTTGTGTATTTCGGGAACAGCTCGCTTGATTATTTGTGAAATTTCTTTGTTTGTTACGGCAGGAAACCCGGAAGGCATTTTGCTCGCAAGTATGCGAGTTTGACGACTCTCGGTCGGAGGAACTGGAGGTGAATCAGTGACTAGTGCAGGATATTCACTGATTGAATGCCAATCAGAGCGCGCGAAAAACACTATCCACTGTTTTAGTATATACTAAATTTATATATCTACTACCTGGATTTTTGAAAACCAGGTTAGCAAAAAAAATCAGTTCTTTCTACATATATCTTATGACCAATCACAGGCCTCAAACGGATTTGTTCACTTAAGTGGCAAAAATTGTATTGTTTCCTGCTTTTTGGTGCGTACACTTGCCAAAAGTGAAAAAGTTCTGAAAAGTTCTGCAGGGTTTATAGACATTAGAATCAATCAAGAAATTTACCGAGAGCCACGAAAACGAGAAAAAAAACACACACACACACACACACACACAAAGAAAATCGATTTAAACGACGATTAACGAGTCAAGGAAAGAAATTGCCCCGAAGGAGCTGTATGTGTGAGATGACTATGAGGCCAGTCCTTTACGTCATCTTAATGGCCAGTTTTGAACGGTATTTAAAGACGAATAATTCCAGTTTCAGCATTGCGAAAGACGCTAAGCTTGAACAGACACGAAAAGCTTTAGAGCAAAAAACAAATGTATCTAAAACTTAAAAGAAAAGGAAATAAACCTAACGAAAACTCTTTCCTTGATCTTTAAGAGGAGAAGATAAAAATGCCGTATGGTAAAGAATTGGGATCAATTTAGGTTTCTGGGAGAACTGCCCACCTACCCCTCCCCTAAGCCATCATTTTGCCCAAAGTGAGAAGTCACTGTTAATGTTAGCTTAGGGGAGGGGTAGGTGGGCAGTTTCCCGGAAACCTAAATTGATCCAAGAATTGTTATGAATGTCGACTCCCGAGAAGGAGCCTCATCTATGATAAATATTTGTTTCATGGCTGCATGTTTCTATATTATTTTATAACAAGTACAATAATGATTTAATATTGATTAAGGAAATACTAATAAACTTTCCCACGGTGATTTGATTTTGATCAAAGTAAAAAAAAGATAAAAAATGGTAAAAGAATGAAAAAAAATACGTCAAGATTATGGTTAATTCGTACGATATCTATTCACTTGTAATGAACTTGTGAATAAAAATCGTGTGCGCTTTTTAATTATTAACTATGAAGTAATCTATACAACTTTTATTGCAAGAACTTTGAACAATAAATCTTGGTGCCCAAGTTAAGGTATCAGCCTGCCTGTAACATATAAGGGTTTTCGGACAGACAAATACAATGAATTTTCATAACTTACCAACAAGGAGTCCAATAACCAAGGAATTGGCAACAAAGACCAAGCCATTGAACAGCAGGTTATCCAGGATTGGGTCGACTGATGACTCAAAACGTTCACTCGGCATTGAACTCACGGCTCCTATTGCAAGGTTTACGAAGGTAACGGCAAGTGAAGATAGCATAAGCTTGTTTTCGAATGGCTCTTTTATTGGGCTTTTCCACGCGAAATAGATACCATACAGACCAGAAAAAACCAAAGCTAGGCCAATGTAAGCTCTGCTTTCCCCACCCAAAAGGATCAATCCAGAGGTTAAAATAACCTTTCGAAATGTTTCCACCAGCTCCCAATACCAACACCGAGGGTTGTAGTTTTCGTGCAAAAAACGAAGCCCCGTTTGCACGGTACTTTGGTCTTCCGAACCATTTGTGTCGCTTGATTCATTTTTCTTTTCAGCTCTTTTCCTTTTCCAAATTGCTGTAAAAGCAGCAGCAGGCAAAGCAATCACATACACAATGGAACAGTATCCTACGATGACTAATCGGTTATACCTCTCTCCTTTGCAGTTAATGCTGTAGTCGGCCTTCAAATACTCCTCGCAGCTTTCATCTTTTTTGGGGTCAACGCAGAGTCTATGGCAGGCAAGAGGTAAGACTTGAGCTGTTTTTAGGCAAGTGTTCAGATAGGTCACGAAAAGAAAGAAAAACAGATTTCTCTTTACTATCGCTTTAATGCGCTCCTTTATCTTCATTTTTTCTTCTTCATTCGACATATGTCGTGTCGATATCCAAGTGGCAAGGGCAAGGCTAGCAAGGGCGACGATGACTGCTGCAATATTCAATCCCATAACTGCAAATAAACTTGTGAGTGCGTCAAATTCCAAGTCAGGAAAGATGCAGTGGAGGGGAGCTATCTGAAGAATGTTCATCTGAATAATATCTGAATATTCCCCAATAACGGAAAGACTTCCAGGCCATTTTATGTATGAAAACGCCTCCATGATACCAAACAGCACCTGATAAAAACCAATAACAATTTTAATCTCTCCGAGGACCTTGTCAAGGAAAGATCGTCCAGCGTCTTTTTTGTTCTTTTTCTTGCTTCTCCACACCACAAGTATAACCAGTATGATAATTAATGCCCCAATAATTACAAGCTGTCCGATCATCCATCCTTTTGTTGGGCACAACTTGCATTTCTTCAGTTTTTTGTGATATCCATCACTGCAAACTGCACATAGCGGTCCTTCATAACCAGGCTCACATGAAGAATTCAAACCTCCCTTACAAGCTTCTGTTATGGGACATCTGTACGGTTGAGGTATGGTGTACGGGTATTCAATACCGGAATCATTTACTCTGTGTAATTCAGGAGTAAAGGAGAAATTTGTTACGTTTTTAATGAAGTTTCTGTACAGTTCTGGGTGTGTCTTATGTTCCCACTTCCACCAAAAGCCAGCTGTAAGATTCGCAAAGTCATCCCGACATTTTAGTCCGCCATTCCTCTCACATAGTGTACATTCCCCAAACAAATTCGTTCGGTAGTAATTATCCAAGCACTTACAAGCCCGAAACCCTGCAAATTCATATGATTCAGTACCTGTAAAAATAGGAAATCGAACATTTGTTACAAAATATCGTAACTAATCCGTTCAATTTTGTTATTAAAAACATATAAATTATTCTTTGGTGACGGGAGATACTTACATGTATATAAAGTAACAAGGTGAAATAGCGTTTCCACCAAACAAGTGAAACGTTTGTTTATTTATTGTTGTTTTCTTTTTTTTTTTTTTAGAACAATGCATGTCTTAAAATCGTTATTAACTAAGTCTTAAAGATAAACCACACATAATCATCTCCTTCTTACTCACTAAGAAAATTTGCACATTCGCTCTTCCGAATTTTTGATTTTGACAACGAAGGCTCGTTTACCGATATAGAATACTGTCAGTGATAACGATGATATAGAGGATATTACATGGCCGCGCGGGGATACGAGTTTTAGCACGAGAAGATAAAATTCGTATCCCCAAGCGACCATGTAATGTTCTGTTTATTTTATAGACACTGATGAAATTCCTACATAAAACACAACTTTTTTTATTCATTTTCGAAACGGCAAAATATTGCAATTAAAGTGGTCACCTATCGCAAATGCCTGTCACAACAATGTTATGAAACTGGGATATAAAGTTATAAAGGAGAAATAAAGACAATAATACTTATATTTTCTGTTCCAAAAAGTCCAAATTGTGTTAGTATTCATGGCGACACCAATATCCTCACACGTGAAAGATAAAAATAGTATCTTCACTGCGCGCGATGAAGATATGATGTTTTAGTAAAAGGACAAATCCTGGTATTTCATCACTATCTATATAATAATTAGTAATATCTTTCTCCGTTCGCGGTGAACTGGGGTTATTGCAAAGAAATTAATACGATAGAAAGAACAGAGGAGATCAAATATGGATGTGAAAGTTTCTTTTTATTCCCTTCCGGAAGCGTTTAAGGTGGGGACTATACATTTTAGGGGGAACGAAGGGACTATCAGCTGAACTCTCTCCAAATAGTTCCCGCACCAACGGAGACCCATCTGAATTTTTAGTATAAGGTCTCCATGATAACAAAAATTACCCGATAGTTAGAATAAAGTTCAGATGTAACGTACACTCTGATTGGTTGAAAAAGCATGCTTCATGAGAGTATAAAGCACGGAACTAAAGGTGATGTTACACGGGACGATTCGCAACCACGATTTTTAGCTCAACACAGTGTTGCAATGTTGGAACAATATTGTAACTATTCGAAACAATGTTGCAACAATGTTGCAACGCTGTGTTGCGCGAAAAATCGTTGTTGCGAATCGTCTCATGTAAAATCACCTTACAGTCAAGGCAGGTCAAGCGTACCCCTCAAGATTCTATTAATGAATTACTTATTTGAAAAATGAATCCTTTAGTCGTTCCAGAAACTAGTGTCAAATTCAAATCAGCATTCCTGCATGCGCAATGAGCAGTGAATATTGTACAAGAACTTCTCTGTATTTGGTCAGATTGAAAATCTTTGAATGGATTAAAATAAATTTACATCAAATTCAGAGAAACTGAGCTGGTAGAAATTTCGTACCTGCCTCGCGTGTGAATTCACGGCTCATTACGCAAGCAACAATGAAAAGATAAATCTGAAATCCACATCTACCAAAGGATTCAACTTTTGATTAATGGAATCTTGGGGGTACGCTTGACTTGGCTTGACTGTAAAGCCGTCGTGGTATCCGTGAATCCCATCATGCTGCGGTGGGTTTTCAGACCACATTTCTGGGTAAAACATACACCGTTAAAAGACACAAATTGAAAGGGAAAGTTCAAATGAATGTTCAGTTGTTTTTGGTGTGGACTAAGGAGAGCTTTTGGTTACGAAATGGTGGTTCGACCAATTCAACGATGTTTTCTTCGCGGCGGAGCGCAAAATGTCCTGTTTTGAAACCAAGGCAGCGAAGACTTCAGGTATATTGTACTCATGGTCAAGAGGGAAATTTATATTTGTCTAAATGTTTTACAAACAGAGGCGTAGCTACCTGTACGCACGGTACGCACGTGCGTACAAGACTCCATAGGGAAGTTCACCTATATTTGCTATTTTGAGAGAGATGAAAGAAAAGCGAGGAAAACAAAGAAAGAAAGAAAGAAAGAAAGAAAAAAACACATACATTTTGATAGCTGGGGAGGTTTTCGTTGCCCTCGCCGTGCAAGCTCGTATGAACAAATCCGAAAAGTATCGGATAAGTTGGACAAATTGTTTGCACTACAAAACATTGCGAAATTATGAGGCATTGGATTCACTTTAGTTTTCGGATTCAAAATCTATCGAGACTTGACCAAATCGGCAACTTTCCAATTCGGATTCGTGTGCTGCATCTGCTTAAATCAAGGAAGTTTTGAAAAAGTCGTGCACAAAACAGATATATAATGAATAAATAATAAAAAATAAAAAATTAATTCTAAAAGGAAAGCAAAATATCTAAAGATAATTATTTAAAGAGCACAGTTTGCCTTAATTCATTCACCTCTGGTTGTTTCTTTGAAATATATTTTTTTCTACAACAACGGCCTTTTTATTCCCTCTCCACCCAAATGCCCGTTTCCCGAGGAAGGAAGTAAATCATCGAGTAATGGACCGAATCTTGGATAACATACATGTATATATATCTAGTGAACAGATAGCAGGCGGTTTTACTAAAACCGTGTTCGGATTCCTAACCGTTTACGCACATCGATAAATCCTGGGAGCAACGACGAAGGCGACAGCGATAGCCTGCGTAGCAAGCGTTTCCTCGCGACCCAGGCTACGACGGCGACGGCAATGAGCCCAATAAATAAATGAAAAAACAACAAATTTTGAACGTCCAGCACGCTTTCCTTTACAACCTGTATGAACACCACCGTAAAAAATTTCCTTTTGCGACGCTGTTTGGAGTCCGAACTTGGGTGCGATCCCCAAGACTCCGTGGGGAAGTTCACCTATATTTGCCATTTAAGAGAGTTAAGAGAGTGGAAGGAAATAAACGCGAACAAGTTAAAAAAAAAAAAACAATGAGTCATGTAACTGATTCATTATCCCGTGCGATGACGTATTAGGCATTATATATACCTGAATAATATATGCAAAGTTGTCAGTTCGCAAAGAGTGTCAGTGAAAAGGGTCAGCCCTGCCTCCCTCCCTTTCTCGGACATAATTAGAACTTGGAGTCCTTTGTCGTTTTCCTCGTCCCATAGCTTAATGCAATAAGTCAGAGAAAGGGATAATGAACTATATTCATGAAAGTGACAGTTCCCTTTTGGTTTTACTGCAAACTCGTATGATCAAATGCGAAAAGTATCCGGATAAGCTAGACAAATTGTTTACACTACAAAACATTGGGAGTTTACTAGGCATCGGATTCACTTTAGATTTCGGATTCAAAATCCATAGAGACCTGACGAAATCGGCACCTTTTCAATTAGGATTCACGCGCTGCATTAGCCTGTACACAGACGTTGCTTGATTTTTCTTTTCGTTCTTTTCAAAAAATCTTCTTCCCCCACTCCTACCACCTTGGGCTGGCGGTCAACAAATCCCCCTCGGTTTTTCCTTTTTTATCACGCGCGCTCGACGGACTTCGAAAAGAAAATAGAGGGCCTGTGGACAGGCTGGCGCGCGCTGCTTCTGCTTAAAAACGACGAGTAACGAATCCAGAAAAGTATGGAGCCTTATTGCATGATAGTAGCCTGTGCACAGACCCCCCTCTACACAGGCTATATGATAAATGATTGACGTGCATCAGTAAATGGACCCAAACACCCGACAAAGTATTTCATAAGTTGCTTATGTCATTTCATATACAGAAAAAAACTGTTAGGCTTACAACGTAACCAAATCTTAAATCAAGAAAAGTCTTTTTTTTGGGGGGGGGGGGGGGGTGCAAAGTGATTTGGAGAATTGTGCGTATCTCTGAAAAAATCCTGGCTACGCCCCTGACAAACATTCTGTAATTGTCATTGGCGATAAAGAAAAATTACAAACTGCATCCGGATTTGCGATGGATTTTGTATTGAATTTTGTGATGTGCTCATCCGATTTTTCTTGCTTCTAAGGATTAACCTCTTAGTCTTCGAATAAAAAAAATTTCAAGAAGTAATTTTTCTGTCTATTGTTTTGAGTTTTATCATTCATAATATCAGCTTGAAACACGATCGCGAGACTACAGGTACCATCACTTGTGCAAAGACGGAGAATTTTATAAAATTTTACTTTCAGGTTCAGTTTTTGGGCAGTTTTCGATACGAAGCTGAAGCAGTTTGTTTTCAAATATGCCATGTTAATGACGGCCAGGTTTTCATGGGCCACAAAAACACTTTTTACCTTTAGAAACTGATTTTTGAAAGTGGAAAGCACATTTCTTTAGCATTCAAATTCGCTGAACGTTTCGCTCGTTTTACTTTGTGATAGCTTTGATATTTTGATAGCTTTTGTCTCATTCAACTAATCAGGATTGTGATTGGCTAATAAAGCGTAATTTATGAGGGTGTAGAACATGCTGACGACACTCTGGTTCGCTTTGAAAATAAAGTTTGTTTTGAAAATTAGAAAGCAATGCGTTGGGGATTTTAACGGTTTTTTTTTTTAATCACAAAACAAATAAAGAAGCCTTATGACTGTGCTCTGTTCTGTTGTAAAGCACTTAGGTCACTTAGGTAGCGGCTAGAGCACTCAAGAAGTAGGGAGAAACACTCGACTACGTCTCTTATTTCCCCCAGCCTACACTTCTTTCGTGCTCTAGCCGCTTCTTGATTGCTTTAAAACCGAACAGAGCACAGTCAAGGCTTCTTTAGCTGTTAATTATAATTATAATTTTTCCAGCTTTCAATTGAAAACAGACAGTAATACAACTATTGCTCCTAAAACTGCAAGCTGCCCTGTCATCCGTTTTTTGGTTTTGTTGGACACAGCTTGCATTTTTCAGTTGTTTATAGCATCCATCACGCAAACTGCACATAGTGGTCCTTCATAAACAGCCTCATATGAAGAATTCATACTTCCCTTAAAAGCTTCCTCCCTGGGACTAATATTTTACGATCTGGGAAGGGTGTACGTTAACTCACAATAAAATCAGAGACTTTGCTGGTAAAATTTCAGGTTGCTGTTATGCATGTGTACGTAACGCCAAAAAATTAAACCATGGTGCCTCACAACCATAAATTCCCATGACAGTTAAATTGAATAGAACATTCACGCACAAACACGGTAAATCACAAATGCAAACTTTGTATCCAATTGATACCAGGTATAATAATTAGCAAGACCAACGTTTAACATAATATAAAGCTGTTTCACATCTTGATATATAACTTTCTTCGTTACTTTCCATTAAATGTTTTCTTTAGTCCTATTTCTCTGGCTCAATCAGATTGAAATAGCCGATTTCTCGAGGTGGAGGTTAGGTTATTACTTATTGGTGCTTGACACGTAAACATGACAAAAATGGGTGTATTTTCTAAATATTTTTGGAATTTTAGCGGAAATGTTTAAATAAAAGTAAGACAAACGTTGTCATACCGTCGAACGTAGGGTGCTAAACGTTTTGACATAGCCGAGATTTTTATGACCTCTGATACCTGTATTACTTCTTAGTACATGGTTTGAACGCAGGATTACTGCCATAACAAGTTGTAATATGCTTTTCGGGATGAGTATAGTCCTGAATAGGACTGGCAGATAAGGGCGACATAATGTTTCGACACCCTGTACGGTAGGCATCATCACAAAGATTGTGCTAATTTTATCACTTCAGTTAATGCTATAATTATTTTTTATTGTCCTGATTGTTCAATTAAGTCGCGAAGTTCTTGGTCTTCCTGTTAGTTAAGCCGTGATGTTGTTAGCTATGAACTTTCGAATAAATGAAGACTAGCTAAGACTAGATGTGAGTGTTCATTTTTTATCGATAACTCTAACATCGTAGTAATAACCGTTAGTTTTAAAGACCGATCACACGTCAGAAAAAATGGGAACGAACCCCTCAAGAAAGGAGTATTTTTTAAGATTCAAGCAGCAGATAACGATCTCTGTTCTCTTTTGTCAAGGAACCCAAGAAACGCTTATTCACTTCTTTTGGGGTTGTCCCGTGACAAGAGCTTGAAAAGATTTCTTGGTTTGAATCGATTTGTTGGAAGCCTCTGGCGTTTTAGATAGAGATATTTTAGCTAGTCATTGTGTACTCTGGGATTTATATCTTTAGTTACAAATACTAAAGTTCAGAACCATCTATTGTAGAATATGTTTATCAAGTTAAAGACAACATTCAAACTGAAAAACAAATTTCAATTATTAAAGGAAAGGAGAAAAATTTGAAAGAAAAGAGTGAACTCTCCTTTTTTCTCCTGCTTTTAAAAGAAAAATCCAATATGAACAGATTCCAAGTAAAAAAGAAACATGTACTGTACGCATATTCTGTCTAGCAACCTTACTATCTATTTGTTAATTAGTTTTGTTTTTTTTGTATTAAGTATCTATGTTTATGTAATGCCTGTGTGTAAAAAGCAAATAAATGAAATTAAAAAAGGAGTACAGATCCGTATCAGTTTCTTCATTTTCTCACCATCTCTGACGTCTTCGTTGATGGTATACGCAGTAAAAAAAACCGTGTAGATTTTGGACAAGAATGATGTGATCACTGAATGATCACTGTCTTTCCTCCGGTTTGTCTCCGTCCCCACTTATTGTTTTATGTGCAACGGGGATGTTGTAAGGTTAAAGGGTACGTAAGATAGTTTTATAGGTGCCTCTAAAGTGAGGAATAGCCCCTGTCGTAAAGATATTTTAGAACTGTTTGCAGTTTATGTGCACTCGTGCAATCAAATGCAAAAAAAGACACTGGTGCATTCCTGTATGGTTTGAGAAGAGGCATTGCAAGTCATTTACTCTGAATAATTGAAACCATACGCCTGTATTGAGCTCGAGTTTCGGGGAATAAAGCCACATGGATTATGAGGAATCTGGCGTCATTTTCTAGTCTTGGTATTGCACGCGTCTTTAACTGTTGCAATAACTGCTGATTGTATCATCACTAAGAGTACAGGCACTAGAAGTATTTATATGAGAGGAAAATTTGCCATTTTCAAATCATGAAGGAGTTAAAGTAAATAGAGTGTGCACAAAAGCAATCCTCTTACAGTCAAGTTAGAATAAAATAATATATTTTCATAAGTTTTAAATAAGTTTTAAATAAGTTAAGGTTGTACATGGTCCTTTTTGAGGAAACTGGAACTTTTGGGATAAGTTGCACAACTGATCAGCGCTACGTGCACATGAATCTTAACTTTGCTTTGAATAGCGTTTAGAACGAGGAGAAACAAAGGAGAAACAAAGGGGAAAAACTAACTAACTAACATGATTTTCTGCTCGGCTTAGCTGTTAGCAGTCCCAAAACTGCAAGGGTTTGGTGCTGAAGATCATGGTCAGGAGATCTCTTCCCTACTAACAGGACAGCCGCGAATAGCTTAGAATTGTCAGGTTTCGATGAGCGGCAATCTCGTTTAGGAAGAATTTGAAGCTCGTACGTACTTTGTCCATGTTAGACGTCTTATATAACCACAAAATGATTCTGGCCACCATTTCAAACAATTTGAGGAACGAATTACGCTTGGTAGTAACGCGACTCGTCCTATCTTTTTTAGCCATGCAACGAAAGTTCATTGCTTGTTCTCAGTGGCCGATGAACAAGAATGTCAAGTTAATGGAAATTAAATTACGCTGATTTGAATAAAAGTCATAAGTTGCGGATTTCTCTTGCGTTTCGTTTCATCTGCACCGACATTTAGCCAAATTTAAATTTATTTTTTGACTGAAATAAATTTTAAAAAATTCCGCCATATTTTGAACGCCTGTCCTATTGCATGTAGTTTGCTTCATAACATTATGAAAGTTTGTTCTGGACCTAAAGAGCCGCTCAACACTGTGACAACATCCTAAGGAATTTCCATTGAAATGAAACCTTTCCCAGAGTACTCAATAGTTTCACGGATTTTACAGAAAAAATACTTTTGAGAACTTGTTTTTTTTTTTTTTTTTTTTTTGCCACGGTTAGGGGTAAACGAGTTATTTTTGTAATTACTTTTGACACACCTGCTTCAGAAAAGACACATGACGACAACAAAAAAGTTGGGATGACAAATCTAGTAGTTATGTCAAGTCAAGCGCGAGAGAGTCAATACCGCAGCTTTAAGGTAAAGGGGTTGAGAGGAGCAACTACAAATTATCTTGATTGCGACAGCTAGGAGGAGGTTCACTGTGAAAGTCACCGTACTCGTAATGGGAATTTCAGGTCCAATTCGTAGAGGCAGAGGTTTGTGGAATGCTCGCATAAGGATCATCAGGGAATAGTAAGGTTTCCACGTATTGACAACAATGCAAACATGAAAATGCCAGAGATGCTACTGACACACATTTATGCCACAAGAAAAAGCTTTTCAGTCATAGAGTGGTTGGATTTATTTGGGCAAGAAAACTTAATGAAATCAGATGTGCTTTATTGCGGACAGAGGTTGATCAAGCCACTGCAGCTAAACGCGATGATAACGTTTAAAGGCAAAGCTGAGGAGATGACAATAGCGAGCAGTTGTCTTGACTTTAGGGCCTTGTAAGTAAAAGAAGAAAAAGAATAGAAGAGAAGTAGAGGAAGAAGAAGAATAAGAATAAGAATAACTTAAAGAATCGTTTATCATTATAAGTACACAAGCCTAGTAGTCGAATATGGCAATTTTGCCTTGCTTTCTATTGACTCAGCTGCATTGACCAGTCAAGGATGCATTCGCAGTTAACCTCGGCAACTAAACGAATCCTTTCATTCTCTATTTCAAAGATGCGAATGAAGACGATCACGTTTAAACCCTCTATGAATAGTTAATTTACTTTGAGTGGAGTGTCAATTGTAGAAGTCGAGCGTTTGCATTATCCCTGCTTCCGGCGTAACTCGAAGGAAAAAAAGGAATTATCAAGCGGGATTACATATCTAGTTACACTTATTTATTTCTTTCCTTTGCTCACAATTGGATTATACAACAGTGGACTTTGATTGCAGTATTTATCTTTGTTTTTTCTTTGTTCACTCCTTTTATCTTTTTAAAGTCCAACTCCCCCAGTCAATAAACTGGTAGCCATAGCAACCAGCAGTATTTCTTCTTCCACAACTTAAAAACATGACCTTGAGAGTACAGTAAGGTGGATCATAGATTCTGACAGTAACCATTTGAAAAGAGTTCAGCGTAATTATTTTAATTACTTCACCCATCACGTTCCTTAAGTTTTCCCAAAACATTCTCTAGAAAAAGCTGTAATAGTTTCTATGGAAACATTCAAAAAAGCTCTGTCACTGCCTCAAATAATTTAGTCTGCTACACAGCCGTTTTTAGTGTCGTCAAGCAGACTACAAATAATTAAGTTAATAGACTATTAAATTATAAAATGGATTTTCACGTTAGGCGCCATTCATAATGAACTGGCAAATTTCCCACAGAGTATCTCAGGCTGATACAACTACACTGTGGCGTTAGAATACCTTGTGGACAGGACTTGCAGTCAAATGGGCTTTTTCCTGGGGCTTTTGAGTAGTGGACAAAAGTTCCATTTTCGCAGCGCCGACAGCTGTTATTTACATAAGCTCGCGTGTCTGAGTAGAAACCTCCTGAATGAACAAGAAATAACAAAAAATATGGATCAGTACAAAAGGACAGCGCGATGATCAGGAAAGTTTTTAAAGAGGAGACTGATTCAAATCCTTAGAAGAGCGGCCTTCCGTTTGTACATTTTTGTATTGACCAACAGTCTGTAGACGCCCAAACTTTATTATATCAACGGACGACTAAAAAGAAGTAATGTAGTGTCAGTAGCCTAAAAGAAATATGTTTAAAAAATCATCCTAAGCTACCCGCGCAGTCCCCCGATTTCAACTGGCTAATATATTTTACTTTTACAAATCACTGACATGTTCACTACCATAACACCCGATCCCCTTCAGCTCATGCTTTAAGGAAAAACATAGACAATTCCTTATTACTCGAGCTTCAAAGACAGGATAGTTACGTTGATATAGACGCCCTTTATTAATGAAATTAAAAAATTGAATCTAATTTTATTTATTTATTTATTCTAATTATTTGTTTATTCGTATTATTGTTCTAGTTATCTCTTTTTCCGCGTTATGTTGTAAATCTCTCTTATTTCCTTGTAAAATGTTTTTTGGTATCTATACTTAATTTAGTTGCATTTTTTTTTGTATCAGTACGCACAAACTTTTCATGTAGCGTCCCCACACTGCGTGCCTCGAATACTGCTAAATATAGGCAGTGTGTATGTGACTGGCTTTGCTAAAACATAGCTATAGAAATCTCTCTCATATACCTTTACCGAGTCTTGTGAGTCTTGTTATTGTCACTTTCATTTATTTGTTTTCTACCGAATATTTTAGTACTGAATAGTTGACGCTGGAGTAGATAGACTGTCATGAGTTTCTCACTGGCTATTAACCACCCCTCCAAACCTTTTTATAACTTCCCATAATTCTCGACTCTGTATGTCAGTTTGAAATCAGCGCGTGTATTAGACTGAACTCGGCTCTCATAGTGCTTTGTCTCAGATATTTTTTGGCTGCCTTGAGCGAAGTTTTCCGGAAGGCATCATTAAAAACGCCTTATTCTTTGTGCCGTGAGTGTTTAGGGTAGGTTATTTTGTCTTAGAAAGCCTAATCTGAGCTCAAAGATTGAGGATCTTAAATTTTGACTAGTGTTTTCGGCAGAGACTTAGCTATGGGCCACACGGCTTCACCAAATAAAATGTAACACTTTTCCGACGTTTCAAATGTTGTTAGGTCCATCGCAAAACCCTGTTATTTCTGCGAGAGAAATTTACCACCTGTTGCCAGCAAAAAAAGTGGTCATTGCTAAGTCACAGCTAGTGACTTTTAACTGCTTTCCATTCCTTAGATGTCAAATTGTTAAAATGCACTGGGAATTTCTTTAGCCATTTTTTAGCAAATCCAGTCAGGAATGTCTTATATATTTCTTTCTTGTTAATAAAATTGCTATTTTGCTGATATAAATTTTGGCTGATAAAATTCTTTCACATTGTATAACTGTTTCATTTTACAAGAAGAAAAGAGGGGTCTAAAAGACACGGTATATTTTTTCTCAAAAAAAAAAACCTGTCATATGATGGGTTTGCTCACACATTATCACAATCACTTGCATTCAGCCAGGTATTGACTGGAAAAGGCTTTACGTTTTTGCGCAAGTGAGAACAGTCTAACGGCTTTATTCAGAAGCTACCGCAAGTGTTACAGTTGCAATAAGTTTCATGAAAAAATAAAATTGCAATGTTGATGGTATATGTATTTTGTTCTCGAAACTTTCTTACACTACTAGTTGACTTTTGTACTCTGAGTATTATTTCAGAGAGCAAAGACACTCCTTGCAACATATTACGGTACATAAGTACATGTTTAGCATTCGAAGAAAAAAATCATGACTGAGATCTCTAAATGTACGTGTTTGTCTTTACGATTAAGATGTGTAACACGCATATCATAAATTAAGAAAAAATTACCTGCTGGGCACTCTAGGCACTTGGGGTCATTAGCAGAGGCTTTAACAAACGTACCCAGTGAACATGGAAGTAATTTGTATGCACTCTCATTACTTGCACTGGCGAACCCAGATTGTCTGAACGCGAGCAATAAATCTTTTGCAAAGTAGTAATTACTGTAATATGAGATATCGATCTGTTCAGTATCATCCTGTCCTGGACCTCTGAAGAAAAAAATCAGGAAAAAAGTGAAACAGAAAAGGCGGTGAGGAATAAACATGACCGTCACTGACCTAGCGAAATGATGCATTTTCTGTTGAGGTGGGGTTTATCTTATCTTATGAAACAAACTGCAAAGGTTGACAGGCATCGTCACGAACACAGACTTTATAACGTGTTCTGATACCCATTTCATTTTTCGGTGCGTGTAGGCTATATCTGGTTTATATAAAGGCACCACTCATAATACTGAGAAAGGCAAAACAGCTTGCCTGGGGAAAATTTTCACTTTACATATTTAAAGAAAACACTCACAGGTGAACTGTACATTTGCTTTTCCCATATGAAACTTTTATGGTATTGATTGCTCCTTGTTCCGAATTTCTGAACAAAGTAAAAAAAATAATGTTATGGTGTTTTAAATGCTAGAATTGATTTTCAGGGTCCCTATCGTATTGTTATTTGTTCTTGGCGTTGGGAACAGGCTATGAGAAATCTACGATAGATATTCATGCCTGGAAATTCTTGGTCTGGTTTGAGCCATGTCACGTGTTTCCAATTTCAGTCTAAATTTAACTGTTTTCTTGTTAAATTTTCCTTGCTATTTAATTTTCATATAAGAAATCTTGACTGTCAAAAGCTAAAAGAAAAAAATATTTCAAAAAAGAAATTTCCAACTGCGCAGAATTAATAAAAAAGATGAAATGTAATACCCTCCTTCCATTTGTATTTATTTACACTATTTTGTAACGTCTTAGCTTGACCTAGTGGTTTGTAAATGCAGACTCTGAAGAAGAAAGGCCGTGCCCGGCTTTCGAAACATTGACTGGTAACACAAAAAGTATGCATTCCCGACTGTAAAATACTGTAAAATCAGCCTTGATTTTTTCCGTTGTTCAGATATTTGAATTCACAGCCGATTAGATCCTTTATTAGGATGCAGTACTTCTATTTTGTAACGTTGGTATAGCCGTATATAGCGGGGGAGGGGGCTATGATATGAGCAGCCGCCCCCTTGGACCAGTTGAGCCAGACAAATCAAGTCTGTGGATAGATTTCTTTCTTTAAACTCAGTTATTTTGACTGTGGTGAGCATTTTCATGGCCGAGAAATTGGTTGGCCCACGGTGTGTACAAATAGTAAGCTTAAGGAAGCAAAAAACCCCTATCGAAATTGGCGTGTATATGTACTATTTGAAAGGTTCACAGAGGCGTAGCTACCTGTACGCACGGTACGCACGTGCGTACAAGACTCCATAGGGAAGTTCACCTATATTTGCTATTTTGAGAGAGATGAAAGAAAAGCGAGAAAACAAAGAAAGAAAGAAAGAAAAAAACACATACATTTTGATAGCTGGGGAGGTTTTCGTTGCCCTCGCCGTGCAAGCTCGTATGATCAAATCCGAAAAGTATCGGATAAGATGGACAAATTGTTTGCACTACAAAACATTGCGAACTTATGAGGCATCGGATTCACTTTAGTTTTCGGATTCAAAATCTATCGAGACTTGACCAAATCGGCAACTTTCCAATTCGGATTCATGTGCTGCATCTGCTTAAATCAAGGAAGTTTTGAAAAAGTCATGCACAAAACAGATACATAATGAATAAATAATAAAAAATAAAAAATTAATTCTAAAAGGAAAGCAAAATATCTAAAGATAATTATTTAAAGAGCACAGTTTGCCTTAATTCATTCACCTCTGGTTGTTTCTTTGAAATATATTTTTTTCTACAACAACGGCCTTTTTATTCCCTCTCCACCAAAATGTCGGTTTCCCGAGAAAGGAAGTAAATCATCGAGTAATGGGCCGAATCTTCGATAACATACATGTATATATATCTAGCGAACAGATAGCAGGCGGTTTTACTAAAACCGTGTTCAGATTCCTAACCGTTTACGCACATCGATAAATCCTGGGAGCAACGACGAAGGCGACAGCGATAGCCTGCGTAGCAAGCGTTTCCTCGCGACGCAGGCTACAACGGCGACGGCAATGAGCCCAATAAATAAATGAAAAAACAACAAATTTTGAACGTCCAGCACGCTTTCCTTTACAACCTGTATGAACACCACCGTAAAAAATTTCCTTTTGCGACGTTGTTTGGAGTCCGAACTTGGGTGCGATCCCCAAGACTCCTTAGGGAAGTTCACCTATATTTGCCATTTTAAGAGAGTTAAGAGAGTGGAAGGAAATAAACGCGAACAAGTTTTAAAAAAAAACCGCGCTTTCATTTTGTTAGTCGGCTAGGGGCGTTTTCGTTCCCGGCCCTCACCGTCGTCGTTGCTAAGTCATCCTATTCACAGTCATGTAACTGATTCATTATCCCGTGCGATGACGTATTAGGCATTATATAAACCTGAATAATATATGCAAAGTTGTCAGTTCGAGTGAACTTACGCAACACGACGGGAGAGGAAAGAAGACGGCAAAGCTTGTGTGACAAGCGTGACAATAATTTTACTTGAAATAACTTTTTGCCAAACTTCACTTTCTTTTAAACAGATCTTTTTGTCAGTGAAAAGGGTCAGCCCTGCCTCCCTCCCTTTCTCGGACATAATTAGAACTTGGAGTCCTTTGTCGTTTTCGTCGACCGGGATCTCGTGCCATACCTTAATGCAATAAGTCAGAGAAAAGGATAATGAACTATATTCATGAAAGTGACAGTTCCATTTTGGTTTTACTGCAAACTCGTATGATCAAATGCGGAAAAGTATCCGGAGAAGCTAGACAAATTGTTTACACTACAAAACATTGCGAGTTTGCTAGGCATCGGATTCACTTTAGATTTCGGATTCAAAACCCGACCAAATCGGCACCTTTTCAATTAGGATTCACGCGCTGTATTAGCCCGTACACAGACGTTACTTTATTTTTCTTTTCGTTCTTTTCGAAAAAGCTTCTTCCCCTACCCTTACCACCTTGCGCTGGCGGTCAACAAATCCCCCGCGGTTTTTCCTTTTTTATCACGCGCACTCGACGGACTTCGAGAAGAAAATAGAGGGCCTGTGGACAGGCTGGCGCACGCTGCATCTGCTTAAAAGCGACGAAACGATCCCAGTATCAAAAAATAAGGTAACGAATCCAGAAAAGTATGGAGCCTTATTGCATGATAGTAGCCTGTGTACAGACCCCCCTCTACACAGGCTATATGATAAATCATTGACGTGCATCGGTAAATGGACCCCAACACCCGACAAAGTATTTCATAAGTTGCTAATGTCATTTCATATACAGAAAAAACTGTTAGGCTTACAGCGTAACCAAATCTTTAATCAAGAAAAGTTTTTTTCGGGGGGGGGGTGCAAAGTGATTTGGAGAATTGTGCGTATCTCTGAAAAAAATCCTGGCTACGCCCCTGGTTCACTCTAATTTACAGAGAGTGACTGGAACTAGTGTAGTATAAGTAGAATCCTGGGATAGAATATGGCATTTTGGAGCCTACAAATGGGGCATTTGGACGAAGACGTCTCTTTGCTAAGGAACATTCATATTTAAATTTGGTAGTCCCAGTGAGGTTTAAATAACAAAAGCCCCAATTTGCACAAGAAAGCAATACCCTGAAGGATTCTAGTCGTAGTAGTAAAATGACGAGATCGTGCAAATGGCCTATTTGAATTTTACGTAGCTACATTTTTGTACGGCCCTGGTTGGTCCTTGCTTCCAAAACTGATCAAATGACAGCCATTGATTGCTAAAAAGCCTCTTCATAACTTGGCTATAATTTGCGGAGATCTAAAAACTTATAAAGCTTTTTCCGTGTAAAACCATAGTGGATAAAAGACTGGTTATGAAAGCCAGCAAACATCAAAGATGAAAAGACAGCTAGTGCTGCAGTTTATGTTTGAAGGTGCCTGACCCTGCACAATCCTTGGGTTTTTGTTCACAAATTGTCACGGCAGCTGGCATTGCATATTATTATGTGAAGACAACATCTACAAATTGTAAGCTTTACTTCCGTATGGTGTTAGCCCGTGTTTTGGTCATAAAACTTTCTTGTGGGCTAAGAAAACTCCTTCATTTTCTGGAAGGTCCGACAACTCTAGAAAAAAATCTAGAAAAGCGTTAAGCGGCCGCAAAAAGAAATTCGAAGAAGCAGGTAGAGTACTGCAAGTACTATCGACCTCAGACGTCCCTGGACAAGTTTTTCTTTCGGCCCGCTTTACGGACCGTTGGTTTAGTCTTCAGTGCAAAAATGTGGTCACCAGTCCGTAAAATCCCTACATTTAAGGACAGTTGTGACGTCATGGAGCTATTGTTCTCGAGGAAAATGGCGGATCAATTAACAAAACGACCAGAGTTCACCGTTTCGAGATTCTCAGGCACACTTCGAACACTTTTCACGGTTTTCATGGCAGATACAAGGTGGGGCCAAACCACCCCTCAAATGAATTATCAAAGCGTAGCCATTTTGGTTAATTTAGAATAACTTTGAAAGCTTTAACTCTTTCTTTTCCAAACTTGGCCTGAAAATACGAAACTTCAGGCCAATTAAAATGGTTTATAGGATTTCACCAAATGTCAGATTATCACGTCACATTTGCTGACGTCATTCATACGTAAATTTTAAACTTTTAAATCTCCCAATTTTTTTATACTGTTTTTGATAGAAATATTGACGGGAAGTTGAAAGCTGGAAAAGTTTATCCAATGTCTAAATATGAGCTGAAATATGACATTTTGAATTTGGATAAATTCGTAGCACAAAAATTCCCTTGTAAAATAAGTCTACATCAAAAATGTTCATTGTTCAAGTCGCCCTTGCTATTTAACCCTCGGATGCAGCGCAAATTCACACCCCACCGTGGTACCAGGGGGGAACGAAACCCTCCCCAGAGTTCTTGATATGTTGAAGTATTTTGAAACGATTTTACCTTTAGTGGAAAGCCATTGATCTTCTTAACAAGATGAGGTATATTTTAGGGGTGGTGTCGCTGCTGGAGGCCTGTGACATCACCAACAATGGTCGCCTTCTTAGCCACCAACTTGGATTTTATCAAGAATTAGAAATCAGGCTTAAACCGCGAGAAATGGTAATTTTTGTGCTTTACATGAAAAATAACACATAAATAAGCGCTTTGCATGATTTTAGCCACAAGATTTACATTTAATGTTGAAAGAAATTGAAAAAACATGTATTTTCACCCCCAATTGCCTTGACCACCTGCTACTTATGGCGTCATATCCCGTAACCATAACAACTAACCATCACTGGACTTGACTTAAAATGTGCGCGAGGGATGAACAAACAGCTACTAAAAACATTAGGTGCTGATGTTTTATCCTCTAGGAAAAAACTCAGAAAAACCGTATGGGGGTTGGCATCCACCCCCGCTTGTACGTCCGAGGGATAAGTTACACACAACACATCTTTTCTGTTGAAAGCTAAATGAAAAAGAAAAATTTGAAAAATGAAATTCCTGACTGGGCAAAAACCACGAAAACAGTTTTGTAACGTCACATGTCACATGATCAATTTTTTTGGTTTGCTTAAATTAGTGTTTTTGAGTCAAAAAACGAAAATCTGAAATGATACGATTTTGCCAAATAAAAAAGGTTTGTGTTACCAGAAAATCAGCCTATTTTGCAAAAAACTTTGAAAAAAATATCACATGGATCGTTTTTAAGGAAAATATAATTTGCTTAAATTAGAATTGACTAAAATTATTATTTTGCCGGCACTGACCGGAGGACTGGGTTCTAGTGTAACGCGCGAGGGATCGCGGTTAGGGGGTTTGATATAGTGACCGTTTAGTTATGCGTGTCATTCCACGGTCGGCCTCGCCGCTTCAACTTGCTTTGTTTACTTTAGTTTTCACTTATTCTGTTAGCCTTAATTTCGTTCCGATCTGTACTGGTCCCAATGTTCCTTAGCTATTTTATGTAGCATCTCGTTTTCTGCTCGTATTCATGTTATTAGGCTTTATTTTATTTGTTTTGCCTTATAACCCCAAAGCTGACGCCATAGCATAAGTTGGGGTTACACGGTCCCTATTTTTTCAATAGCTAGCTCTTTCGGGTTTACGTGTCCGACTGTGGCGTGTTCTTAGAATTACTGTAACAGTGGAGTTTTTTCACGTGAGTTAATAAAGTGTTTCTTGGGCCTGGCTGACCGACGTGACCATACCTCCAAGTGCTGTTTTGTGTGTTCGGTTGTGTAGTGGAGGGAAAATAGTATGGTTCCGGGGATGCACTCAAATAACTCGGGTTTTACGTGTCGACGCCAGAAACGGTTTTCGCTGTTTTACTTCTCTTCCGGCTAAAGCTCTGTCAGATGATATAAGTTTGACTTGGAAAGTAAAAACTGCATTTAACCCATTTTGGTGACGTCAGCCGTCAATTTGACATTTTGCGTCAAACAAAAACTTAATATCATCTGGTCAACAATCGTAGTCTATCTGGCAAGTTTGGTCAAGAAATGAAAAGAAATGTAAAAGATACTTAATTTAGCCTTTATAAAACATTTGAGGAGTGGTTTGGCCCCACCGTGGTAAACATTTTTTTTTATGGATTGAAAGATTTTTTACCAGATTCTAGTTATTTTTCCTCGATTGTCATATCTATTAACTTATATCATGTTGAATATGTGGATGGTGGACAACCTAGAATTTTGGTAGACAATCTTTGAATTCCGAGGTCAAAACACGTGTTCCACTCCAGGGTTTCACGCAGACGGGGGAGAGCCAGTGTTATTACTTTTTTTTCCCATTAATATGAGCCTTTGCCTTTTTCCTTTTAAGGTATTAGTCTTTTCAAGGTATTTATGAATATTCACTTCCAACATTTCGCCTCACTTTGCCGAATTTGCGGGGATAAAATTGGTGATCATAAGCGCTAGATACTAACCGCTTTGTTTCTGAAATTCAACAGATCTGGAAAGATTTATTACTGTTGGATTCTCCAAACGTTCATCCACAGTTTAAAAAAAAGACAAAGAAAGGAGGCAAATTTCAGCTGTAAACGATGTATTTCTCTCCTCCTTGAACACTGATAATCTGGGTTGTCTTTTAACCTCGCAGGTACGACAGGGAGCAAAGAAAGTACCAGATGTATGAAGGCCATGTGTGCTGTCAACACGAAACAAGAAAAATTAATAAATTTGAACTACTTCTTATTCTTGTTATGATGACTGGGTCTTTGATTCTTGTCTTGTAGAAGTTAATAGGTGGTACCATTCCTGTTTTGTGCGATTCCGAGAAATTTTCACACACTCTCTAACACTATGTTTACACGGGACCAGTTTACTTCTGCAAAAACTAGCAAGCGGTCCAGAATATTCGAAAACCCATGGCCAATGATTCCTTGCAATGAATAATTCTCTTATTCTCTTAAATCAGATGTTCCAAAGTTGGAACCAAAACACAAGACGAGAAGACCCATTATAATTTGCTTGAGGAACAGACATATCTACGTTCCAAATCACTCGAATTTTAAAGGATCTTTGAATATCTGAATCTTTAAAACTAGGTATCAAGTGTAAGAAAGTCTGCAGACGGGACAAATGGGAAAATAACGAGAATAAAAGTACAAACCTACGCCCTTTCAGGGTGTGGAAACGGAACGCCTGGTTGATTATGGCGCATACATCCCGCATACATAAAGGAAAACATTGATTCACTTCGACTTCTCGCATTTATAATAAACTTCATAAATTTATTTAATTTTTTTAAATTTTTTAAATTTTATTCACGATATCCTGCATTGAATTGTAGGCTTATCTACAAAAGGCAGAAGGAAACAATTCAAGATTCCTCTTATTTTCAAAAGGAAACTTTTCTGCTACCAAAAACTGGAGAAAGCCTTCCGAAAAAAACCTCCTAATTTTTTTTTTAATCTGTCTGTTTGTTTGTTGGCTTGTTGTTGTTTTTCTTGCCGTCGCCTTTTTTGTTAAAAACAGCTTATTTTGGAATTATAAAAAATGGATTTTAGCAACCGATCAGCAAGGCAATGTGGACTATGTTTTGTTACCCCCGTGTCCTGCGTCCCTGACGTATAAGAATTCTCGAGGAGGCAGAATAGTTGACGGTTTGCCTCAGTTTTGGGACGCAACGATCGATCAATTGATCGATCTAAAGATGTATTTGAAGAATGCCATGTTTGCGCGTTTTTTGAAAGGAATATTGAACGCTACCTCAAGACAAAAGAGTAATATCGTCCGCTCGTAAAATAGATTAACAACAGTTTCTGAATGAATAGATACAGAAATTTTTCCACGCAAATTCTCCATAAGATCTTTTTCAAAAGCGGCCATGTTTATTTACCTGATGGAGTGGTTACTCATTACGTTTGTCATATATGGAAAGCACGTAGCTGACCCAAGATGGCCGAAAGTGGTTCGTAGTAGGGCAAAACTTTCTAACTAATTCTAAGCTTCAAGGGCTCGTTACTGTTAATATAAAAATTAGAAAATGCCACCCAAAAATGTTTTGCTCCTACTGGCCGGGACAAAAAAGATAAGTTTTTCGAGGAGAGCCGCTGGGTATGACTTTAAACAATAAAAAATCCAAGAGTGGTCCCAAGAGTGACAGTGTTAGCGTTTTCTATTTTTCACTAAAAAGACTGTAATTTGATTTCAGCACACTGACTATAATGTATTACAGAGATAAGTACTTTGCTATTGATAATGTTCTACAGATTACACGTGATAGTCTGGTTTCATTAGAGTTGTGGCATCTGTTAATATAGAGGTGAGGACTCAGTGTTTTTTTGAACTGGGTATCATTTATTCTGGACTGGGACTCATGATTTTTCATAAGATGAGTCCCAGGACTCACTTTTAGTAATTTGTAACAAAATCACTGAACAGGTAGTCGTAAAGTGCCCTGGATTTAGAGGGAAAGGTACAAACATATAAAAACCAGCGACCACTTTGTAACACAAGTACGGGGTAGAACTTACACGCAGGCATCCAGACTCATGCATGAGATATTAAAAAGGGTGTGTTCAGATAGGAATCATAATATGCCACTTGCATGATGACTTCATTTTACTACTACGACCAGAATTCTTGAGGGTTTTGCTTTATTGTGCAAATTAGGGCTTTTGTCATTTAATTCTCTCTGGGATTACCAACTTTAGATATGAAAGGAAAAAGTAAAGGATTCTGGTCTTAGTAGTAAAATGACGTCATCAGGCAAATTATTGCCCCCGCAGGGATTTCGCCCAGAAGGCGAAATCCCGAGGAGGCACTCTAGTTACTCGCGCGTATATTAAGCAAAGTACTTACAGTTGAAATATACAGTCATACAGTCAATATAGAAAAAATCTCGATTTGGTTGAACAGGGGCCGCGAGGAATCGGTAAGTAATGATGACGTTTCTATTGTTTGCGCCCGCAAGTACGAAATGGTTAGGATGACTCAAAGACAGAACATCCGCAAGGGACTGCTTAGGTAGATTTTGTGACATTTATTGTGCAGTCATACTTCGACACTCTTTTGCGATACGTGTTATCAGTGACATTCTGTGGAGCAGTTGTTTCAGTGAAAGTTTAATATGGACCAAAATTTTAACAACACTCGTTAAACGCTGAGGAAGTTATAAGGTGCGTATAACTGCGTATATATAAACACTTGGAGAGTTTGCCAGGCACGAGTTGACAAATATTTCATTGGAAACCTTGCCAGACACTCTTTCTCTCTCTTTGACCGGAATAAGACTCAGCCCCAAACAAACAAGACGAGTGATCAACGGCTAGCTTCTCACTAGCAGAACAATGGACGATTACAGAAATTCGCCGATAATCAAATTCTGTGCTGACTTATTCGCTGCTCACAGATGTCCTTCCCCTATAAAGTTTAAAATAAGACTAGAATGCGCGAGTGTGAATTGATCAAACGTCCTTTTAATTTCTAAGGCTTTCTTTCCGGCAAATAAAATGAACTGAATGTAAAAAGTGAAAAATTCAACTTCTAATTAAATCTTTTGTTATGGTTTAGAATAAACTATTCTCGAAACTGAGAATGTTTTGATCAAAGCTGTGTAAATCGACCGTAGGCGACCTTACACTGTGCACGAAACCTTGCTTTTCCTGTATTTATCTCACCTATTGTATGGAATATGTGTGAAAATCTTCGTTATGAATCGGTATATTTCAAAGAGCTACACAACGAGTAAGAATGCTATTGACCGACAATATACAGAGCGGGGACATAGTGTCAACTATTACTAGTTATATTAGTCTGTGTTTTCTAATATGCGGAGGCACACGAAACAAATACTGCCTGTCTTCTACAACTCAGGGCCTGTTTCCTTGAAAGACGGTTAAATAGAGGTTCAATCTTAATCTTAAATGACGGCTATTGGCCTTGGGGGAGATGAGCGCTGGGCTTCATTTATGTTTTATGTTTTATCTTCAGTTGTTCCTTCGAAAACGGGAAACAGAGTCTCAGTGCCTGTTTTACCCCCCACTGTGAGCTCTCCTGCGAGATGTTTACTGGATCGTGTCTCCAGTGAAGTGGATTTCTTTGTCATTTTTTCCATGACCCTTGACGAGCCGTGCCACACCGCCTGGGAGGTTGAAGTTCATTTTTTGAAACAAATGCTGCAGGTCAGCTAAAAGTACTTGTATTCTATATAACTGTCATTAAATGTGCTGGTTTTAAAGAAGTTTCTTTTATGAGAGTTTTTAGGATAATATTATAGTGACACCAAACATATTAAAACAAAAAAAAACTACAATCCTCGCCCAATCAAATTCAAAAGCGCAAGCGTGCCTCCTATTCTTATTGAGCACTCTATGATGACGTCACAAAACTTAAACCTCCAAACCACTTCTTGTGAGCCTAGCAATCCTCACAAGTGCATCCATAACTCAATAGTGCACGATCAAGCGTTTACCATGTGTCAGGAGTGTGTGTATGATTTTAATATAATCTAAAGAAAAACGCTTTGGAATTTGTTAACACATAGTATGAAAGAGGTGAGTGTTGTTGTTGTCATCTGCCGAGCTATGGCGTGTGCAAATCATTCTTTTTTCGTTCAAAAAGAACTTTTTGGTGACTTAATAGTTTCCCATCTCAATATGGATTGTAAAACCGTTTCGGATGTTATCTCAAGCGGCTTTTGTATACTTTCAGTTTGAAGATAAAAAAAATTTGCAAACACAACTATGAGTTGAAAACAACAATAAGTAAATATTGACGCATACTGCTTTGAGCGTAGTCTGCAACACGACCGTTTTTAGTGTCGTCACGCAACTCTCCTCCCCACAAATGGCTGCTGAGATTCGGACCACACTCCTTTCCCTTTGTGTTTGTGGTCTAACGAACAAACCAATAATGTATAAGAAACTTGACAATACGTGAGCCGCGGGGCGCTAGGAAGCGAACACGCTTCTCAATTTTCGACAAATCAATCAATCGTCGCTGAATTTGGACGGGCTCTGTGTCTTCAAGTAACGGAACGGTTAACAAAGTTCCAAGTGAAAAAAGGTTTGATAGCCCCTCAGACTCTTACCAGGATCAGTTGGTTCTTTTTATCGTGCATATGCATGATGAATTTCATGTGCCGAATGTGCTCATTGTGTTGCTGTACATGTGAAGACTAAACTCTCAAGGGTACTGAGTCAAACAAAAGCAACCTTATAAATTAGCGATGAACGATTCGCAAAACTATACCCGGCAACTTTGTAAGCACATCCATGTTGTGCATCACATTTGTTCGACTTGCTTGCTGCTACCGGGTTATCTCGTAAATTTTGAATAGGACTCGACTACGAAAACACTACTCTAGTTTATTGCTTGTCTTCACGCGACGATTTTGATTGTTCTGTCTTTCACACATGGGGCACAGAAAAAAGCAAAGCTTTGATTGGAGGAGTCACCGTACTGCAAACGTGGCGCGAACACCTTCCACTAAATGGGACCTGAATTCTAATAAGCTAGCCGCGGGAAAGGAATGTGGTTCGATTCTCAGCAGCCGTTTGTGCAAAGGAGGGTTGCGTGTAGCAGACTACTTTGAGCGCGCTATAGTAATAAAATTTCAAGGTAACTGCTGCATTGATCGTATTTTAAATGTTGTAAAACAATTGGTTCATGCTTCAGCTGTGTGCATGTCGAAAAATAAAGCACTTAGAAAGTTTGGAGAGCACTCGAGAAGCTTGAGGTGCTCTCGGCTGCTCCTCAAGCAGCTTTACTTTGTTGGCCTCAAATTGTTTACCGAGTTTTCTTGCAAGAAAAGGTGTCCAAAAGAAAGAGAGGTCCAGCTCTTACAATAGAAAAACCCAGTGATTGTTCTTATGAAAGACGAAAATCATTTCTTTGCCGATGAAAAGAGGATGTTTCATTATGGGCTGAAAAGAGCACTTTTGATGTAGTCTAGCTGGGAAGAGAAATTGGGTGCCTTAGCTAATTAAAGTTTCGTTTTGTTTATTTCAAGAGTTAACTTACGATATTAAATAGGGAGGGAAAGAGAAAATTCAAAACTTTCTCCATGATTTGGTCATTGTATAGGCGCGTAATAGAACCATAATTGAACTAGTAAATCCCTTTCAGAGAAATGGCGACTGGTTAGTTTGGAAATAATTCACTATTATACTTACATATTAGTTGTTAAGTTAGAAATGCCGTCGAGAGATCGAAAGCTAAATGTCTTGACCTTGGTTCGTATCATATATCTTTAACAAAAACAAAAACAAACAATCAATGCTGAATTCTTGCTGTGTAGGTCTGTAAGTATCTTTACACTGAACGCTGTTTAATATTTAGAAAATACTTTATGATTTCAGAGTGTGGAAAGAAGCATGAAAAGGCTGTGAATAATAATTGATAAACAAAAAATATTTCTTGACAAAATAAAAAGAACAGGAAACAACCTAAAAAAAGAGGGAATTTTACAAGGATTGTATTCAAGCTTGCATTCAACCTCTCATCTGTAGGTGTTACAAATTCAAACAGTTATCAGAGGTCCTCTAAAGCAAAGGAATATGGGTCTTGTATTAGTTGTGCCATATGCCGGGAAAGAAAAGAGTATTACCTTTTCATCGTTTTTCCATACTATAAAAGTCAGAAAATCTTGGGCAAAAGAAACTGAATTCTGAATGTTATTGAGTTGTAAAAAAAATCGCCATTTAATTCAGCGTCCATAAACCAAACCGCATGCAGCAACGGTAAGTAACAAGTTCGTGGTTCTGTGGATTGTTTGTGTGCCTTGATATTTTTCGTGCCTGTTTACTACACGATCAGCATTCCTAAGATATTATACACTTATACACTTAGATCCCGAGGGAAACAGTTAGTTTTGTTTTCCCGAGAGTCCTGATGTTTCCAGAGACTGGTTTCCCGATTGACCTGACATTAAGTGTTTTGTTATATTTCTAGACTTTCAATTCAACGTACTTCAACAACAACAAAAGAATACGCTTTAGCGAAGCGAATCAAAAGAGTCGACTCGGTACTTATAAGAACATAGATTTAATTCTCAAAACCACTACATGAATGATGTACAAAGTACTTTCCTTATGTTATCTGTATCTTTTTCTTCCACTAGCTGCTGTTTCTCTTCTCGGATAACTTTAAAAATCGTTGCTTTTTAGCTTGAGGCTTCATGTTTGTGTTGTTTTAATTATGTTCATTCTCGAAAAAGAAAACTGGGAGTGTTTTTCCCGCCTTCGGTCACGACACTTTCCACCATGCTTTGATCACGTGCTGTAATGTATCCCGAGCCGGGTACATTGTTTATTAAATGTATCACGATCGGGATACATTTGATTTTATTCAAGGCCATGTGACCGAGAATCGGCCAATGGCTGTCCCTGTTTAGTTAAGTGATCGTCTAGGAATATAACAACTCAAGTTGTCGCAGTTTTCCGAGTTAGACAAACAGTAAGTGGGCACCCGAGAGGTCCTTTTCATCAAGGCCCCATTGCTGCCTTCACTAATAGTAATAATAGCAGTAGCAAATATAGAAAGAAAAGAAATAATATAACAATAATAATGCCAGAGGGCATTTGATTTGATAAGCGAAATGAATCTTAACAACTGAAATTTTCACTTTGACCTATTATTTGTAAGTTTAGTTAACACTCTTTAAGCCAGTTTAATTTTAGAACGTATACCGCTTTCATCAAGTCCCCGTAACCTTTCTATTTCTGCAATCACCTGAAGTCTTTGCTTTATCACCCTATTCATAGTGATGGAGGCCAGGGTTGGAATCTTTACCTGACATTGAACATTTGTCACTGCTAAGTAGCAAGCGCTTCTGCACGAGTCCGTTGAGAAAGTTGGAATGGGGAGGGAAAAAATGAAGGGGGAGGCAGAAATGGAAATCTAATAATCAATCCAGAAATCAAAGATCACAAAAGTTGATCTGAATAGACTGAAGTGAAAATAAGCGATTTCAGTTTGCTATTGCGGCATGAGCTGCCTCTTAACTTCCTCTCCATCAAAATGCAACATTGAATACTTACATTAACAGATCGTTGTTTGGAATTGTGAATGCACGTGACCCTATACTCTCCAAAGGATTATCTGAAAGCATTCTGAAAAAGAAATACAAAATCAATCTCGATAGCATTCATTTAACTCTCGGTCTCGGTCGGGGAAAGGATCGAAGGGTTTTATTGTAGAACTCCAAGATAAAGAAACGGAGCTGGTTGGAGAACAGTTGCCATTAGGTGTCAAGAATACATACATGTATTCTTGGTACACATTTTATTTATTCTTCTGTACACGTGGTGCCGTGAAGCAGCTGTGACTGCGTGTTCAGGCCGGAAATAAATGGAGAACACTAGTTTCAAAAATATGTGACTTGCCATAAAAGATAGTAACTCTGACAATAACTTGACATAAAAAGATGTTAAATCTAACATACCTAAATCGCAATAAGATGATCAATCTTATGATGCAACATTAACCTAATTCGTCATTAGGAAATGACAAGTCTAATCTATCTACCTCGTAGAGATACCCACCTTGACAAAAGACGATGAAGTAGGAAAACATTACTTTGTAATATGTATACTTGAAAATACCAAATTTCAATGCTTACGGTGTAAGTCGTGAATAGTCTAACAAGAATCATTTTTTGGTAAAATTAGCTCATCGAATCAGATTTGTCTTAAATGACTCAGTATTAAGCAAAAGTTTATTGTAGGACGTTGTTACTCAGCTAAGAAACTGTAACGTTTCTAATATTTCGAAAATGTTGTTTATGATATGACCAGTCACGGAGTTCAAGACATGTGCAAAACAAAACAAAAACTATTTGTTACAGTGGTTACTGCTTGCCAGCAAAAATCACGCTCAATGAAATCAAACAAGAGCCATAATATGGCTCTTGCATCAAAGCTCTTTCCCCATGCAAAAAATGTTTTGTTTTCGCAGTTTGGTAGTTCGACAATAGTTCTGAGCTAATTTTTGTAAATGGTTAGAATATGTTGACAGTCGCGAACCCTTTAATTTCTTCAAACTAATTTAGCGAACATTCAAAGGTTCAAAGGTCTATAAAAGAAATCTAAAAATATGGTGTTGGTGAGTTGAGCCCACGCCCGAATCAACTGTAGTATACGGCTGCATCTCCGGCCCTTTTTATGCAAGGATGAGCGCGAAAACAACGCTAATGTACTTGATATATATTCTAGCGGAACGGAGCGTCGGCGCGCGCAGCGGAGCCCCAGAAGCTCCCGTACGTACATTTATAGAACATGGGAACCTATCGAAACCAGAAAATTTGGTTTTGACGTCAGCGTATCCCCGAGCTCCCGAACACTCGTACAGACTCTGGGAGCAGTGATAAAAACTCAGTAGGTTAGGGAAGGGAGTCTCAGACATGTACGTTGGGTTCCTATTTGGCGCAAAATTAACGGTTTTAGGGGCAACCAACGGAGTTGCTGGAGTAAAAATATAGGCTGAAGTTTTTCTCTGTTCAGTAGCAGGACAACCCTCCCCCCCACCCCTCCCCGCGCTTGGTCAAAATTTTGACAGGTGAATTTATAAATGAAAGCCGCAACATCTAACCTACGTATAGCCGCGCACCCTCCCGCCGACAAAGGGAAAACGGAGGGGGCCTCTCTCCAAGTTTTCTTTGTCGGGGTTAGAGTGCGGCTACACGTAGGCTAGCAACATCTAGAAAAAATTGTTTTAGGACAGACGTACGTACTGAGAACTGAAGCCTATTTTTCATTTCAGTTAAGTTGTAAAGTTATCGTGTTCTTGTATTGACGCCACAAAATGAAATACTACTGCTTTGTCTTTCTGTTTTTCAGAACTGAATTGTTTATTTGGTTTTTCGTTGAGGAAAGAATCGCAAAGGGATTCATCGATTGCTGCGTTTGTCATAGTTCATGCGGGCTCTTACGGCGGACTACAGGAAAAATCTTGTAACATTTCAAAGTTTTAGTCTTTGTGTTCTTCCACTGCCGCCACAAAATGAAATACGGCAGCAATCAAGATTCTTCTGTTATTCGAAGCTGGTTGTGTACAGTGTTTGGGTTGAGGAAAGCGTAGCCACGGGATTCAACAAAAGTAAAAAATGTCATGCAAGCTTTTACAGCAGAGTACAGGAAAAGTTTCTGACCTCACTTCTTGCCTTCAGGGCCTGCATTTAAGGTGAGCCTATGTAATTGTTACAGTTTTTGTTTCGTTTTAGTTTTTTTTTTTTAAGTCAGGCCTAATTATTTCATTTCATGACGTACTAAAGATTTGAGACAGAGAGACAATGTCAATGGCCTCTCGTTTGTAAGCTTAAATATACACAAGCTTAATTAAAATTAATTTTCTGGTTGCAAATGGAAAGAGAAAGGTTTTGGACTAACTGTCAACAATGAGCTTGAGAAAGTAAGAGAATGGCTCAATGCTAAACCCCGTCAAACTAACGCTCAACGTCAGAAAGTCTAATTATGTCATTTTTCGTCCGCACCAAAAAAGAATACCTTCATTCCTCTAATTAAGATTTTTAATTCAATTTTAAATACTCGAGTAGTTTTAGAGATGAAGGACTTTGTTAAATATTTGGGTATAATAATGATTGATTCTGAACTATCATGGAAGCATCATATTGACTTTATCTGCCACAAAATTAGTAGATCGGTTGGAATAATTGCTAAAATGAGGCATTACATTCCACGACATCTTCTTTTGAATTTATGTCATGCACTTATTGCTCCTTATTTAAATTATGGTATCTGTGCATGGGGCAACTGTCCACAGACCTACCTCAATAAGATAGTTGTTCTGCAAAAACGTGCTCTGCGTTTGATTTATTTTTCTAAACCCAGAGACCATGCAATCCCTTTTTTTATTGACTCAACTGCCTTCCTTTGCAGTCTTTGTTCTTTCAACAGTTAAGCTGTTTAATGTATGACGTTCATGCTACGACAGCTCCTAAAAGTGGTCTCGATAAGTTTGCGAAAAACAATACAAAACATCATTATAATACGCGATTATCTGCAAAAGAATGTTTCTCTGTCAAATTTTTTAGAACTGAAGAAATGAAAGAAGGTATGAGATCTTGCTATGCAAAGTATGTTTTCTCTCTAGGAAAGATAAACAACGTGATCTTAAGCCTAGTCCTTTTGGGCCTTTTTACTGACCGAAATGACGCATTTTCCTACCCTTTCATATACTTCAGCCAGTGAAATCTCTACTCTTTTGTATACCTGAAGCATAATAAAGGTACCCCTTTCGCGCGGAGTCTCCCCATATAGGTCATTATGTGGAGTACCCCACGGGATAAAAAAAGCCATCAGGAGCCCATTCCTGGCGCTATATATGACCTCCGCAATGAACACTTTTATCTTATGCACACGCTAGCCGGTGTACAGACGTCCCTTCTATGATAGTTCAAAGAATTGAATGAGTTTATTTTCATCCGGTCGGTTCGCAGTGCATAAAAATACTACTGATAACAAACTAAAAAAAAACCGTTTTCTTCGCTTAAAAACTCCGTCCATGTCGAACCAGTTTGGTTTAGTTTAGACAATTTAACTCTGTGCGCCGCTCTAACTACAGCTCAATGGTATTGCCCGCGATTAAAGAAAATTTCAGATGCGCTGAAGCCTTTCTCCTACGAACGGACGATTTTTTTTCATTGTCCTCAAAAATAGAGACAAGCTGTCAAAAAAACAAAAAAAAGTTCAGATCATGAACTGAACTAGCGATACCGTGTGGCACGAAATTTTTGCGGGTTTTAATTTTGACGATTTTTACCATTTTTCCAGCGATCCGTAAAAGTAATTTCCCCCCAAAAAATTAACGAAAACATTTTTCCCGCAATAATTTACTCTAGATCTAGTATTAAATATACCCTGACTAAAATTTACTACACAAAAATACAGCACTAAGAAATCGTGTCTGTTCAATTACAACTCGCCTCTTCAATTCAGAAACAAAACGGTATACAATGAATTGGTTTTACATAATGTAGGCATACCGTAGTATCGTTTGAAAATCTGTATTTCTATTACACCCTGATTGCACCTACTTAACAAAAACAAAAATATCAACGCTGGGTACTGGGTACTTTTTGAAAATTAATTGTCAGCAAGAAAAACCAATGTGTCCTAGTGTCGTGAATGCCGTACCGCCGTTCTTCACGATATCACAGTTTTAGAAAAAACAGGGTTTATTTCACGGCTTCAATCTTCACAGTACAATGGCTCGCTCACACACTACACGAAATCGTGACTTTCGTGAATCTGTAAGCTTTAGTTTTTAATCCGATCTGTCAGCAAGTTCACTTTCGCTCAGTTATGTTGTTAAATACTTCGAATGTTTAACCCCGCAATCAGTAAAATCTGACAGACAAGGGAAACTATTAACATAATCACAAAGTTTTAAAAGGAGTAAAATCATGCCATCTCACAATCACGCTACACTCTTACTTCATAACACCTAGTCGCAAAAATTAGTTTCCGCGAAACAGATAAAATGCTCAATCTGCAAAAGTAAACAACCGCAAAAATCTCGTTCCACTCGGTACACCCACCTAGTTTGCATTCATTTATTTATAGTTTCAGTTCAAACAGTTTAATGAAACCCGTGGGTTGGGGTGGTGTCCGGCATGGGAATGGGTTTAGCAGGGTTACTTCTTTCTTTCATACGCTGTCAGCTATCTGTTGTGGTAAACATCTCGTTTTCATACAATACATAATTTCTATCTAGTCTAGGTTTTATGGCAGCCCAGTATACACCTTCTGGTGTCTAGTTTTCGTAAAAAAATAAATCACAACTCCTTAATGTTCTAGGTAATGAAGATAGTTATTTGAATGTTAATTATTTAATAGAATATTTTACGAAGTTAACCTGATATGTTGTATATACGTCCATTGTAATTTTAGTCTTTTCCAAATTACAAAATCCCCTGTACTTGAATTTATTTGTAAGGTGTTGCTTTCTGCGTGTTATTGTATTTCTTTTCTTTTCTTTTTTCTTACGTAATTTAATAACGTAACTATTTTAAACGCCAAGAGCCGGCTAAAGAAAAACAAAAGAAACAAACAAACACAAAGAAACAAGATTTCGGAAACATTTCAGTCATTCTAGTTGCTGTCTTGAATAAAAAGAGTTTTGTTGTTGTACATCTTTCATTGAGGTTTTTTTGATGTTTTGATTGTTATTCATAATTTCGGAAAGTGTTTTGCATCTATCTTTTTTTCCTTTCGCGGAATATGTTACCCTGGGTACCAGAGGGTTTTCTCGCGTGCGGCTAAGCCGCGAGAACTTTTCGCGCGGGTTACTCAGAGGGTTACTATAAAGACTTGACAAAAACCGGAAACCGCGCTAGGAAAGTCTCTGGCACCCAGGGTAGGAATATGTCAGAATGACGCGCGAATGAAGTGTCTGAAAATGGTTTAAACATGGTCTGTGATTTGCGCCTGTGTTTACACATTAACATTGTTCATTGTCGCCGAAACCAAAGACAAGACTCGTGACTGGCACACATTAGCCATTAAAATACAAAATACCTAAAGGGCATTTCTGTAGACTGCAAAATTATGGTTATTCATTGAGGGGATATGATAAATAAGCTTTTAACCTTTCAGGGACTTTTCGCCAGAAAAAAAAAAAAGAGTATAACTTACAGTTGAGGTTACTGAACATCAGATATTAAGATAAAGGGTAGTTTACACGTAATTAACGGTTTGTCGTTCCGATTTTGCAAAGAAAACATATTCCAAACTCAAAATCGGCCTAATTTACCCCATTCGGATATAATCCATTTGAGACAGAAAAATTGACCAATAAACATATTAAACTGTGGACTGGACGCCAAAGAGTTCGTGAATGACAACCAGCCTTTGTAAAGATTAAATTTCATAGGCTAGTAGCTTCTCAAAGGGGTGCGGTGGGGTGGGGGCGGGGGGGCGGGGGGAAGGACGCTTCGTTTATAGCCTTGGCTAAGTCTATATATTGTAGCAATCCCCTTTCACTTTGTAAATAGTAATTTTGTTGGAAAAAAATAATAAACTGCTGCTGTTTCCTTCTTTTTGACTACTGATCCTTCACTTACTAAACATTTTGGGTTACTTCCCGCTTCCGAAATCCCTCGCATTTAATAGTTATACGATGCCAATTGCAAAACCGTCTCTTCTAACAGAAAAAAGACTCAGTCGAACGTATTAACCTTGTTAAGCCCACTTGGAAAGGACAGGATGTTCTTTGTTCTAATGTATCACACGACGATGAACATGCGGGAGTATTCTCCATATACATTTGGGCCGCATACACGCTTTATTGGATAAAAAGAAATGTTTAATTTGGCATTTGCAAGGATGGATATGCCAGATTTGGAAGTAGACTGAATACTTCCTTGTGTACTCTCACATGGTGTAGAGTAGGGAAACAGAAGCAACAAAAGATATCAGCAAGTGACAAGCTAAATTCTCTCCAAACGGTGTTCTCTCTACAGAATTTATTCACGACACCAACCGTCTTTCCACGAGCGTAAGATTGGAATAGAAAACAATATCACCTGGTTTTTCTTTTTACGACCCAAAGTTGATACAAGTAGTATCCGTATGAGCTGCAACGCTACGTTAACGTTCGAAAAGAATACGTTAATTGGTTGAGATTTTCTAATGAATCCTTTCATCAAAAATATTAATAACAGCAATAAATTATATTTTCAATAACTTATGGAATAAAATTGATGTTTGTTTAGTTTTTAAAGGAAATCAAGACTGCCGGATGATCGACCTTTCCACTCAGACAATCTTTTTGTGATGGTATTCCCAGTGCTCTGTGAAAATGAACTCAAGTACGCAGCAGTTTCTGAAATGTGAAGAGCCATCTTTACAGCATGGCAAATAAGGTTTCCTTCCAATGCAACATTCATCCAGATATACCTACTGCTATTCATTCAAGTTAAAAAACGTGTTACAGTGCATGGGTCGCTCTTGTACGAGTTCAACAAAACGAGCGGCTCTTCATTGCATTTATTCTCATTATCCTCTGCGTTTGCGGATATCAAAGAACTGCTTTTTTGTAGGTAGGGTTTTATCAAACAATAGTCAAAGAGTGGTTTCTCTTAACTATTAAGGCGATTTGTACGGCTCCTTCTGGAGAGATACAGTATAAATTATCTGATAATGCTAGACCTATGATACTATAGTAGGGTAGGAAAGGTATAGCAGGAGTTGTTGACTAAAACCAATAATTAAAGACGATCGTGTTACTACAGTGGAACCCGGTTAATGAGGAACACCAAGGGGACATGCCATAGTGTCTGTATTAACCGGGTGTCAGCATTAAGAGATTTTTTAGAACAAAAAACCTCACGGACACATGTTTATCGATATAAAGACGAAAGCAGACATTTTCACGATCCAAAAAGGCTGTTTCATTTCTAAACTCCCTAACAGTAACAAAATCATCCTAAAGAAACCTTGGGATGTTTTGTCTCAGACTAAAATTACCACTAAAATATTGTTTTGAAGGACTACAATGGAATCTGTTAAATCAGGCGGACTGAATGTTAGACAGAACCTGCCGTTCCTGTTATGTTTTCACTGGTAACATATTCAGTCACAGACTGAGGGCGCAGATAAGCAGTGTCCTTAAAGCGCAGTTGATGATACATGTATATAGGAATATGTGACACGGGACTGGCGGGAGAATGTCCGTTATTGTTGATTCGATATATTTCTATGTTTCTGATTAGCTAAAATCCCAGGCATAATTCATCATAACTAGCTACTGTCGACCAAATTTTGGAAGAATTTTGCGATATGTGAACTGATGACATCAATCGTGCATCAAAATTGCCAGATTATTGAACGGTCAGCCACTGATACCTGAGGACGAGGCTGAGTTGTTGTGTTAGTGAATACAAAATGGGGAAACATTTCACTCGTTTCACGTGGAAGAAATATACGAGCTTTTGGCTAAAAACATAGCAAGAACAGCAAGAAGGCAACTCGACGGACATCTTTAATTTGGAGAATGTTTCCAGAACTGAACAACTCTTCATCTCCTAAACTTGCTGATAAACATGAACTATCGAAAATGAACTTAACATCGATGGAGGTAAGCACGTTTTAGCTTGTTTTTAAACTAGGAATTCTTTTGAGCAAATAGTAAAACTACTATTGAATTCGGCTTCGTATCATCTGAAGAATTATGGAGATCTCAGATGGTGTTATCCGCCTCGTCCTTGAGGCCTCGGTGGTTAAACACCCTCCTCGATCTCCATAATTCTTCAGATGATGCAAAACCCGAATTCAACAATTGCTAATTGTCCCTATTAACCAGCGTCCGTTATATTTAGCGTATGAGCTTTAGTCGGGACAAACGAAAATGCCCGGCGTTATGTACGGATGTCCTTTTTAAGTAGTAGAGTGAAGTTTCGCTGAACTTACATTATTCGAAGTCGACTTTGATTCCTGAAAACTTCAGCAGGGATTTTCGTTAAATTATTATTTTGAAGCAGGCTGAAAGAAGAAGGAAAAAAGTGGATATGACGAGAAAATAGCAAGTTAATTAATGAGTAAACTTAATACATATGTGAACGAATAACGCAGCCCACCAAAGAGATGGTGCTTCCAAGCTTATGATTCATTCTCTTACGTACATGATTTCTAGGCTTTTCGTATTATCGAAGGCTCCTGCTGGGATTTTCTTGATTTTGTTTCCACCAAGAAATCTGAAATATAAATATAATAGGTTAAAGACGATTGTATTTCCTCGCCGTATTAAAATAGGACACCGAGAATTACCAGTCTAACCTAATCTTTCGTGACTTCAAGCACGCCTTAAGAATAAAGGGAAGGTCAATATACACATGCAAAATAGTTTATTCTAGGACCTCAAGTAGCCGTTAAGGCTTGAGTGTTACGGGTTTACCTGTGGAAAATGATTTATTGGCTATAACAGTTCGGCACAGATTATGGAGCTGAATCGAAATTTGGCAAACATAAAGAACTCATTGTCCTTAACATTTGAAACTATAAATATTGTGTTTATAAGTCACGTTATCTCTCACTCTAGCTCTTTCTCTGTCGCCCAGGACAATGTAGACTTTAACATTTAGTCGAAAGAAAAGGAGCATTCATTTGCAACATACGCGTACAGCTATCGCATTTGCCTGCTGGAATCTTTTATTGCTTGTAGGCTTAAAAACAATAACAAATACCAGTGGGCAAATGCGGCAGCCTTACGCGTATGTTGCAAATAAATTCAACCAAAGAGTCAGCTTTGTTGTTGTATTTTTTCGCTCTCTCTTTAAAAGCCCGGGTGGCCATGCGATTTACTGCCGAAACGAGAGGGTGATTAAAATGCAAAATGTCACCCTATGGATTGACCTATAAACATAGACTGTGAACTGCACGCAGCCAAAGAGTTTCGTGAATGACAACCAGCCTTTATAAAACATTAAATTTCAGGGCTATTAGCTTCTTAAAGGGGTGTGGTGGGGGGGGGGGGGTAGTGATGCATACGTATGGCTAAGAAGTCTTTTTCAAGACTAGTGATTTGATCGAATTAATTTATTTATAACGTTCTCTTTTTATTTTAAAATCGGTTAAGTTTAAATTTCTGGATTTTCATAGGTTAAAGCTTATTTGTTTTATTTTATTTAAGCCTTGGCTAAATCTATTACAACAAGAGACTACAAAGGGGACAGAGAGGGCATCCCCCATATACACCCTATTCCATAGGTAATTCGTCTCGAGTTATTTTTAACACCACAGATCTCAAGGGGGATTAGACAACAGCCAATCACATAGCGCGAATGTGTTCCGCGTGGATGACCCACGCTGAGAGCCACGCGTCCTTCACGAAATGACGCAGAACAAAATGGGGGAAGACGCGGAGAGCGATTTTTCTATTCCTTTTGTCGACGAAAACGACTACAGCGAGATTTCTGCGAAAGCTGTGTCAGCGAAACCGAAATTAAAAAAGAATCGCCCTTCCTCTCTTGTATAGAGCTAACAGTACAGCAGGGAAATCCTTAACACACTGAATATTCTCTCAGGATCATTTATAATTTACAGTTTGAAGAGAGCAATTTCTTGTTTGATGTTTATTTTTTTCAGTCTTTATAGCAATTATTCCTACCCACTTACTTTGTCAATTGTAGGCGAACCCTCCTAAAGTTGAATTTCAAGGGACCATATTCAAGCTCAGAAAGAGAAATAAAATTTCGTCGTTGCTTATTTACGTCCTCCATAAAACGCGAAATTAGGCATTTTCACGTCGTAGTCGTGCAAAAACGGGAAAGAAATGAACAAAAAAGTGTGTTGCACCTGCGAAGTTGTTGTTTTGCTAATTAAACCTATTGTTTTTTTGACGTTCTAGTTGTCGTCCGCGTCGTTGGATCTTAAACTCCCTAAATTGTACAAACGACCGGTTTCAATAGACCGGCGTAATTTCTCATTTTATTAAAGCGCTGAGGTTACGACAACTTCGAGTTAAACTGATTTCACGGGTTGTCAAAGAGTCCAGCGATTCCTTTTTCACAGGTGAGCGCCGACTCATTTCGCTTCAATATTCAGGAATGCTCTCGATCTTTTTACGCTTTCATTGCCTCTCGCCCGACATGTTTTGCACGGCGTTTGGTCATGCGAAACCTCCACGAAACATCCACGCCTCGCGCGAGGTAACTTTATCCCGATTCTAAAAATAACTCGAGACGAATTACCTATGGAATAGGGTGTATATAGGGGATGCCCTCTCTGTCCCCTTTATAGTCTCTTGATTACAATTATTCACCGAAGTGGAGGTGGCTAGTCGCGGGTATATAACGAAATGCGAAGCAGTGAGGTAAATATCCACGACTAGCCACCGACACTGAGGTTAAAAATTGTTTTAGTATATACTAAAACAGTGAGATAATTGAGCACAAAAATGATGATTTTTAACTCTCAAATACTGTTGCCAACGATTACAATTTTGGCGCGTAATGACCGGGTGGGCGCGGCTGTCGCTTTTTCTTGCCGACAATTAAAACTTTTGAAGGCATTTGTTTAGCTCTTGCGGGGAAGTTTCTTCAAAAGAAGTTGTGAATTCGTTTTGTATTTAAAATCATTCTATAAAAAAAGATTATTAAATTTAGTTTTAAGCTTATTTATGAACAAGTCAACTAAATAAAGTAACGCTAGACTTAAACTTAATTTGCTTTGGAAACAAAAAACTTTTTCACCGGTTTTATCGATAAATTCGTGTCAAAAAGACAAAGCTTTACCTGTTAAAACTTCCAATCCGAACTTCGTCACCTTCGTGTATTTCGGAAACAGCTTGCTTGATTAGTTGTGAAATTTCTTTGTTTGTTTACGGCAGCAAACCGGGAAGGCATTTTGCACGCAACTTACGCGAGTTTGGCGTCGCTCGCTCGGAGGAACTGGAGGTGAATCAGTGAATATATAGTGCGGGATATTCACTGATTGAGTAGCCAATCAGAGCGCGCGAAAAACACTATCCACTGTTTTAGTATATATATTTTTCGAAGTGTGTAAATATTGCCACATATCCCATTATTGTTATTATAACATATTACTACCATAATTACTTTCCAAGCTACTCAGTGGCCTTGCCTCCCCACAAAGGATTAAGTTTAAGCTCAGTCGACCCGGTAGCATGCTTACTGAGTATTTTTCAAGGGTAAATCTTTTTCAGGATTAAGGGATAGGCCTGTTAGCGATGCAGCCTCGAAATTGTGAAAAGAGGTTCCCAATCGCAAAAGTTACTGTACTTGCAAAAGTACGTAATACTTTTTGGCCCTATCCATACGAATCCGGGCAGGCTAAAACCGGTTTCAATCGTCTACACGACTTCGCAAAAAACACCGTCTGGAGAGTGGTTTCAAAAAGGTTTTTCTAAGAAAAATCAAGTCACTTGTGGCATCTTTCACGCGTACTCCTCTCGATTTGCATACAGTAACTTGAATGTATCCTTGTCTTCCTTGTATGCTATAGGGAAATTCATTACCTGACTCGTCAATTCCACGTTAAATTGCACGCGAAAACCGATCGGTTTTCAAGTGCAATTTAACGTGGAATTCACGAGTCAGGTAATGGATTTTCCTTGAATCGCATAATTGAATAAAAATCAGAAAAAAAAAGAAAACAGCAATAATATTGTTTGTTTTTATCCTGAGCGCGCGCTCCAGCAAGCCATTTCAAAGTCAACTGTCAGAACTGTCATTGCGTTAGCGAATAGGAAGCAAGGTCAGTCGTATACGTTTGAACCTTCGACAACTTTTTTGTACATTGTGCTTGTTTTTACATTTGTTTTCAAACTTTCTGACATGTAAACAAGCTTCACACTAATCGTAAGGATAAATAGTGGTATTTCACTAAATTTAAAAGCCGTTTATCTATAGCATCTTTTTTCAAATTGGTCATTTGCTTGAGAAGGAAAATAATTTACACCTTTTACCTCTTCGGCGGCAAAACTGAAAGAAATGAAGTGTCCAAGCGAGAGCACTGAAAGTTTAATGTCGCGATTGATATGAGGTAATTATAAGTACCTTGAAATGTTTTAGAAATGCTGTTCAAGTCAATCTCTGTTTGTACTTTTCTAAGTACCACGGTTCAGGACGATTGCAAGCGGCGTACTCTTTTTCTTGTTTTCAGAGGCTTTGAACGTATTTATTCCTTCTTCTGTATATGTGACAATCGACCCTGGCACTTCCGGTCCTCCGGTGTCACTTCTCCGTTTTGTTTGTTTGAACTTTGTCTTGCCATTTTCTGGGCCGTGTTCACAGGAGTGTCTTGTTTCCTCGTTGTCACGAGCGAAAGAGGTTTCTTATGCCTCTCCAAGAATTTGTAGTTCAGTTCAAAACAAGGAAGAACCTCCGGCTCACTTTACAAAACGCTTTTGTTTGTTTTTAACTCTTCAAAAGGTTACAGTGGTTTTGAAAACATTGTAAAATGGCATCGTAGAAAACCTTTTTTTCAGTTGTTGTGTTAGAATTTCACGATAGTTGTTACGTAGATGCGAAACAATATCGCTTAGCCGTTTTCAACTCGCAATCGCCCATTTTCGAGTTCGCTATGACCGCTGAATTAAAGAAGTAAAGACGCATTTTTTACAGTCTCAGCCTCAATCTGAAAAACTATATTCACAAATTCCAACAAGAAAATGACCTGTTTATTACTCTGTCTATTGTGTATATTCAAATTTCAAACACTTACTTGCCAGAATTTCTGAATATTTTACTTTACGTCGAGGCTAACCCTGTATGAATGTGTCGTTAATATTTGTATTCAGCGGTGATTTTTAATTCGAAACTGAACTATTCCACACTAAATACCTCGCTTCGTTAACCAATCAGAATGCGAGATTTTACTCAATTATGCGATTCTATCCAGTACCCGTATAGGCTCGTATGGGTGGCATGTTACTCGTATGTAGTTATTAGCTGAGCAACGAATACGTTGACGTTCCCCACGTCAAAAATAACAGCTGGAAGTTAATACGTTCTTGCTATAAGCGGTCTCACTCAATAAATTTACCCTACAAGAGTAAAAATACAAAAACAAACAAACAAACTTCCGCTTGTTATTCATGACGGCCAGGATAGCAACGTTCTCTTTGCTTAGGCTCGCTACCGTTTACATCCTTTTGCTAAATGGGAATATGTAACTCGTAGTACTCACGTAGTGTGTTAATATAAGTCATGTTCCTTAACAACAAAGAAATAAAAAATTGAACTTACAAATAAAACAGGTCAGAGAGACTTGAGAATATGTCAGGTGGTAGCAGTTCAATTTTGTTGTCGGAGAGGGACCTGCACAAATAAGTGGTTTTAATGTATTTTAGACAAGATTAATTCAACTAAGCCCTATGCATTGTGTGTAATTTTGGTGGCCGTAGCTTCAAGCGGTTCTGAAATTATAGAGGGGGACCTCCGGAGGGCCTCCCGGTCGCAAGAAGGAAAACAAAGCCCAGTCTGGAAAGGGTTAAAGTCATTTTTCACGAGGAAATAAAAGTGGCAAAGCATTTTCGAAGAACAAAAATAGAAGAAAGTAGAAAGAGTGAAGGCTTCCTTGTAATCTTGCCATTTTCAAGTTCAGAGAAAAGGTTGTGACGCCTCTTATAAACATAGTTCGTCAAAATTTCACTCGACTTCATAATAATGATTAACAACAAAAAATCTTTCACCCTATTCAGACCGATCATTTTTTGGGGGGGGGCTTCCTGCGACTTGAAAAGCCACTCATGCTATAGCTTAAAAACCGCTCATGCTACGGCTACCCGTGATACAAAGAATGATGTACTAATCATTTCCAACTTCTAGGCCTAACTTGAATATACGTAGTCCAAAGAGAGGATAGTAATGGCCAAAAAATGCCCTAAAATATTGGTGAGACCGCAGGATGTCTTTGTGCCCGGTTGAAGAACACCAAGTCCTGGGTAGTGCAATGCTGAACACTGGCGGCCCAAAGGTCATAACATCAACTCAGACATTATCCCTGTATTAATTGCTGAAGATCACAGCATCAAACATCGCATCATGGAGGATATCTCTATTGAACAAAAAAATCCTTTTTGTATAGGGAAAAGGGACGGGATACGTAACAACAAAGTTAAGCAGCCGTACCTCATTATTTTCTACATTTTAATTCGAATTTTAAAATTTGCTTTTGCTCCGAGCTTTGGAATTTTTTATACATGCTTGCAAGAGATAATGATTCTCTCATAATGGTTGTGTATAGGCTCGTATGTTTGTGGCATGTTACTCGTATGTAGTTATAGCTGAGCTTAAGCAACGAATACGTTGACGTTCCGCACGTCAAAAATAACAGCTGGAAGTTAATACGTTCTCGCTTTAAGCGGTCTGACTCAATAACTTTACCCTACAAGAGTAAAAATACAAAAACGAACAAACTTCCGGTTGTTATTCATGACGGCCAGGATAGCAGCGTTCTCGTTGCTTAGGCTCCCTACTCGTTTACATCCTTTGCTAAATGGGAATATGTAACTCGTAGTATTCACGTAGCCTGCATGGCAGGCGTTAAAAGGGAAAGGGGAAGGGGGAATTTGGGCGCGCGAGAGCACGTGTGTTGGGCGAGGGGGAAAGGAAAGGAACGCTTGCAAGGACGCCATTGTTTTCTCCATTTTTCACGTTCAGATTCTGAGCGTGAAAATAGTGATTGGTCAGAATTAATCAAATGTCAATCTTCGACTTAATACCTTTTTCCGATTGCTTGAAATCAACATCACGCCATTTGAGTAACTAAAAATATGTCGTTAGTGAAGCGTGATGAGATTTCTCTACGGGAATTCATCGTTAGAAGGCATCAATTTCAGCTTAAAAGGAGAATAGAAAAAAGCAGTTAAAGAACCGTGTGCAGGAAAAGGCCTGTCAGCAAATGAGTTTTACTGACTGGTTCTGAAAAGTATCATCTCCCAACGGCTTGTAGGCTTTACTTGCCAGAAGAAAGAAAGGAAAAATCATGCTGCCTGTGTGCTTGTTATCTGCTGCTGTTTGACCCGCGTTATCAACGGCAAGATAATTGAAGACGAAGTTGGCTGCGTCGCAGACGCTCTAAACCTTCTGTATAGAGCGTCTGCGAATTAGTGCACAATATCGTGTTGGAATCCCGCAGAGTCGCAAGGACATATGTCGGCGTTTTTGATTGGCTAGTTTCTTACACAGTTTGTGATTAGTCCGATTTGAATTAAGTGTTGACAGGCCAAACATGACTCATAGCTCGTAACAAGAGAGACTGAGCTCGTGATAATGTGAAACGTGACCTTAGAGTAGTCAGTTTGAGCAACAGAGGTTTTTCTTTCTCTCTTTTTGCGTAGTTTATGCAGTGCGTGGAGTATTCTACACTTTGACTGAGAATTTTTTTTTCCGCTTTGAGTCTCACATTTAGAGGTTATGAAGCTGATCTGTTCCATGCATATCGAATTGAATTAGTTCCTGTGGTTTATGTTTCAGCAAATGTTTTCTGACAGGATTTGATCACAGATGCAGTTTACCATTAAAACATTTTTCTTTTACCTCTGTTCAAGCCTTAAACTTTTTTATTGCGGCTAAATAACCTTAGTTTCTTTGGTTTTCTCCGAAATGCCTGGACCTGAATGGCTACATGTGTGTACTTTTTTTTCAGGGTGAATATCATGATTTCCTGATTTGTTTTGATGCTAGAACTGTCGGCTAGATTGCAGAATACGCAGCAGTGCATCTACAGCGATTGGAAGACGCTGGTAAAACAGTCGGCAAATTTACAAGCAAATTATGGCCTTGAAGGAATTCTCTCAAAGCATTTTCTTGTTCAGAAGACGGCTTTAAAGTTCGAACTACTCTTTCATTGTTCACTGTAAACGATCCTTGCCGACTCCCTTCTGTGAATTTTGACATGTCACTGGGCCCAACCGTCACGCACACGTAAGAATTAGGCCAATCGTGAGGCTCATAAGAAACACGTAAGAAATCCGCCTATCCGAAACGTTCACATATGTCCTTGCGACTCTGCAGGATATTAGAACGAGCTGTGGTGCACTAATTCGCAGACGGACTATACAAATGGTTTAGACAAGTGCGTGGGCCGGCTGCAACGCAGGCTAAGACGAAGCGATCTATAACTTTCGGCGATTTTTGGTTGAGGACTTCTTCTTGCCGGTTATAAAACCGCCAGGAACTTACTTTAATGATAAATTGTTGCCTTCTTGCAGATCTTCGAAGTTCAGCTCTTCTTCTTTTCCCGTCACCAGCGTTCTTTTGTGTGCTTCGCTGGATCCAATTCGTCCATATAGAAATTCAAAGGGTGCGTGACGGCAAAGTGTTTTAACTTTCCTTAGACAAACATTGCATTGAAAGTTGCGAAGAGCCGCTACATTTCTTATTAAATAGTTTTCCAGCCCGATTCCTTCAGCAACAACCTTGAATAGATTTATGCTGGATTTTATGTTACTCGGCAAGCTTGGTTGCAACTTTCAAGGAAGATTCCTTCGATGGACGACCGCATTTGAACTTTTTTTTTGTAGTACCTTTACTTTAGATTTCTTGTTTTAGGAAAACAAAAGAAAAACAGTGCGAGAAATACGACTACAATACGTGCATCGCGGCCAGACTTATTTGACAGCTAGTCGTCACAGTTTACGTTATTTTTGTTATTTTTTTAATCGGTAGGCGGGATGGCGAAAACAATGGCTTCCTTGCAGGCGTTCCCTTTCCTCCTCCCTCGCGCGTGGTCTCGCGCCCTAATTCCCTTCCCCTTCCCTTTTGAACGCCTGCCACGCAGGCTAAGTATTCACGTTTTGTGTAAATATAAGTCATGTTCCTTAACAACAAAGAAATAAAAAATTGAACTTACAAATAAAACAGGTCAGAGAGACTTGAGAATATGTCAGGTGGTAGCAGTTCAATTTTGTTGTCGGAGAGGGACCTGCACAAATAAGTGGTTTTAATGTATTTTAGACAAGATTAATTCAACTAAGCCCTATGCATTGTGTGTAACTTTGGTGGCCGTAGCATCAAGCGATTCTGAAATTATAGAGGGGGACCTCCGGAGGGCCTCCCGGTCGCAGGAAGCAAAACAAAGCCCGGTCTCAACAGGGTTAAAGTCATTTTTCACGAGGAAATAAAAGTGGCAAAGTGTTTTCGAAGAACAAAAATAGAAGAAGGAAGAAAGAGTGAAAGCTTCCTTGTAATCTTGCCATTTTCAAGTTCAGAGGAAAGGTTGTGACGCCTCTTATAAACAGAGTTCGTCAAAATTTCACTCGACTTCATAATAATAATTAACAACAAAAAATCTTTATCCCTATTCAGACCGATCATTTTTTTGGCTTCCTGCGACTTGAAAAGCCACTCATGCTATAACTTAAAAACCGCTCGTGCTACGGCTACCCGTGATACAAAGAGTGATGTACTCATCATTTCCAACTTCTAGGCCTAACTTGAATACGTAGTCCAAAGAGAGGATTGTAAATTGCCAAAAAATGCCCTAAAATATTGGTGAGACCGCGGGATGTCTTCGTGCCCGGTTGAAGAACGGTAACCAATCCTGGGTAGTGCAGTGTTGAACACTGGCAACCAAAGGGTCATGACATGAACTCAGACATAATTCCTGTATTAATTGCTGAAGATCACAGCATCAAACATCGCATCATGGAGGACATCTCTATTGAACAAAGAAAATCCTTTTTGAATAGGGAAAAGCTAAGGGACTGGAACTCCAGGCCATTTACAAAATATTATCATTCTCTCCTGACTACGTAACAACAAAGTTAAGTAGCCGTATCTCATTATTTTCTACATTTTAATCGGCGAATTTTAAAATTTGCTTTTGCTTTAAGCCAAGAGAGAATGATCATTCTCTCTTGTCTAAGCTTTGGAATTTTTTGTATATGCTTCCAAGAGATAACGATTCTCTCATGATGCTTGTGAAGTGTTTTAGTCTTGATAATTAGCAACAAAAACATACAAAAATTGAAACTTACAAATAATATAACCGATTGAGATTTGAAAATATCGCAGGTGGAAGAGCTGCAATTCTGTTGTTCTGCAGGTATCTGCAAAAATAAGTAACAGAGAGATGACGTGAGTGTGATTAGGAAATGCGATCGTTCAAAGAAACAGTCTGCACGCATAGCACGGTAAAAGCAGTTCAACTGATATACGGTTAGAAAGACACATTTCAAGAGCATGTGTTCTGTAAATAATATTGAAAAACCTTGTCTCAGTTACGCTATTTTCAATTGCTGAATATTCAGGCTCCAAATACTCTATTCATATGTACAGTTACTGAGAAGTTTCTGAAGCGCTTTACTGTTTTCGAGTGGCCAATCCAGAGGGGAAAGGTGAACCCTAGTCTGCTACACAGCCGTTTTTAGTGTCGTCACGCAACGCTCCTCCCCAGAAGTGACCTATCACGTCAGCCATGTGATCTAATCGAGACTGTAATGGGCATGTCTCATGTTTCATATATTGGATTACCTCAGATGGGACCAACGTTTATAACAGATGAGTTTTTCATTACTCCTGGCTTGGGTCGGGGTTGCAAAAAACATCATAGATTAAGGGAACTCGTAACTATTATTTCAAAACAATAGGTTATCTTAAGAGGGTTTTATGCAACCCGGTCCTGGGCACTAACGCTTGGTTTAAAATGTTATTACCTATGCCGGGAACTTTATCACGCTTGGGTCCTAGTTATTACACTTGTGCTTTCTACAGACGTTGCCCGTTCAACCATGGGACTTGTCTGAATAAACAAAATCTGGGTAAAAACTAAAACCATTCAAGTACAACTCCTTTTATACCAAAGTGCTCACGTTTGTGTAAGAGTATACTATGATTCACTGTGTCAAATGCTTTTGAGAGATCTAAAAACATATCCGTGGTGTATTCTTTATAGTCATGACCAGTTGCTTTCGAGACTTTGGCTTATAATGTTATGCTTATCTAAAAACTTAATACCTCTCTTGTACATAAATTTCTCTAAAATTTTTGAAAACCATGGGAAAACTGAAATCTTAACACAGGACGAAATAACGTGTTTCCATATTTTGTGAACTCGACGGAAACATTGAGTTGCTTATATCCGTCACGTTTCCGCCCTGCGGAAATATGGTGATCTAATTTTCCATAGCCTGTTACAGGCGTTCAGATCGTGGGGAAGGCGCAAAAAGATGTTAGCAGAAAAAAAAAACAACAACAACGAGGGGGTAGGGTAGGGGTGAGAGCGAGGGAACGCCTGTAAGACTTTTTAACAAAAAGCTCGTTCCGGTATACCAGATTCTGGTATACCCTATGATTGGCCTATTTTAACAGCTCTTGTCAGCACTAAGGTTCATTACGTTGATTGGAAATGTGATGCGCTAGCAATCAGATTACACATCAGGTTATCTTGAAAGCGTGTTGAAGTGATTCGAAAAAGACAACACGGTTAATGTAGAGTATCATCCCTAAAGAACAGGAGAAATCGTTCTGAGGCAGGATCTCGTCAACGTAAAGTAGGGCTTTCGAATTTTCCCATTCATTGGCTTTTAAATCAGCTCTTTCCTTTCAGTTCTCTTCAGGAATATTAAAAACGTGCATGAACCTTCTTTTGATATGAGTCTGTGTTCAGCCTGCGAATACAGCCGTTTCACTTTGGCCTTGTTCCTCGCCGCTAGAGACGTTTCGCCTTAGCGGCTACTCAAGTACAACAGTTTAACAGAGTTGGAGTCGCTACAACACTAGTAGGAAAGCATGGACGAATTAGCAGTGAATGTATATAGAAGAGAAGAAAATGCAGCTTCTTTAGCCCTGAAATTCCTGAAAGCTGGCTGTCAAAACATTCACCTGTGAGTGAATATTTTGAAAGCTGATATTTGTGAAAAGGAACAAATGCGCTAGTCTCGGGACGTACTTTTGAGATCTCTATCCTTTTAACACGTCTTCCAAGGCTACGCGTTGAGGCATTTACTGACAAACAAATTCAAACAGCATTTCAATAATAACAACAAAAGCTAACAAAAACCGACAGCAGCTAGTATATTTGATCTGTTGAGTGAAAATCATCGGCAGAGAAAGTGGAACGAGTAATGCTTGCCAGTTCTTTCATTTTTGGAGGTAAGGGATTTATTCGTTTGCAGAAAACAAATATAAAAGATGAATACAGGCATATCTTTTTTTAATTCAGTAAACAGTGCGGTTTGTCGCCCGTTGCTTGATTGACAACTTTTAACACCGGAAACTACGTTCGGATTACTAGTCGACAAAGTGGGGGAATCAAATCTCACAGGCATTCCTTACTGTCTCCCTCTCCCTGTTTTCCACCATCAGATTTTTTCTCGCTCTCTTCCTTCGCGCCACACTCCACTATCCGAACGCCTGGAATAGGCTGTTTCCGCGTCGGAAGGCGAACGATCACGTTTCCGTCACATTTCTGTCATCACATTTCCGTTCTTCCTTGTTTCCGTTTTTTTCTTTCTTTTTAACCCATGTCCAAGATCGCATGATCAATGTTTCAGAAATTTTGCCTTTGCGACCTATCAAGGTGAATATCGGTAAATTTTATTTACTCTTGAGATCGGGCCACTTTGTAAACGGTTGTGTATTCACTCGCGTTTACGTTATATGTAAAATCTGTGAAAAATTGCGGAGATATTTGCTGTAGATATTTGCTAGATTTATCGCAGTCAGTACTACAGTAACCACCCGCATATAAGAACAAATGGATTAAGAACACCAGGCTGAAATTTGTCCAACAAAGCCCCATTTTTATAAGAACAAGATCAGCCTGAAAATTGTAACATGTTCTTATAAAATGGAAAAAGTGTCATAATTTAATACAAAACATGTAAGTTTATGTTTGCTGTCAGATAACTTCATTTGTTAATATAATCAAATTACAGAATAATTATTTATTTTACTTTCCTAAAATATGGCGAGCCGCAAGCCTTAGCGACCGAAATATGGGGGAAAATTTGTCTCCCATCTGACCAGAAGGCCATTGTTTAAATTCAGCCAAGCATAGACCGTTGACAGCTTGAAACCATACTTGAGCAGAAATGCGAATCTCCTTTCGTGGCCTCCTGTGAAGCTTTATCCGACATATCTTTCAACCGCTCATTTTAGCAGACACTACTAAAAAGCTGATGAGACGAACACAACTAAAAAAAAGAACCTGATAGAATGAAAATCGCTCCAAAACAGAGCATCAGTTGGAAAACTTGTGGCGGTGTAGAGGAGTTTTGCACAAATTGTCAAACGGGGGATACCTCAGAATCAATATGCATTTATTTAGCGAAGATGAACGA